ACCACTCCCTGAGTATTTCGAACTCGGGGTTGTTCATGGAGAGACCTTCCAGGTGTGGTACGTCTGGAAGTTCTAGTCCTTCCGGACTAGGATTGGGCCAACCTTCAGGGTATTTTCTTGTGATTACCCTGAGGTGTGTTTCAGTCCCGCCTCCCTGTCAGGGGGGCTTCTTTTTTGGTTGTTCTCGGGCTCTTGCTCGAGTTTTCCCTCCGTGTGATCTCGTCACACGGTCTTCGCTTATTCCAAGGGTGTCTATGTTGCCCTTGTTCGCCGTTCTCACTTTGTGGGACCGGAAGTCTAAGCTTACCTGGTTTTTGTTTAACCAGGGGGCGCCGAAGATGGTGTCGTACCTGTCGATGTTAATTACATCAAAGTAGTGTTTTTCTACGTGGCCGTTGATCTCAACGTCCACGTTAGTTCCGAACAGGATCTGTGATCTTGTTCCTTTCGTCCCCATTTGGAGGACAACTGGGTTCTCCAGTTGAAGGATTGGGATGTGGACCGCGCGGACAAAGTCCGGCGATAAAGCGTCCGTTTCGGCTCCACTATCGAATAGCGCATAGGCTTTTATGCCTGCTATTTTTATGTGAGCCGTTAGCGTTCTCTTTGTTGAGAGCGGTCTGTTTACGGGGTATTTTCCCGCATCTTTTGAGATGCGGAATTTCGCATCAAATAAAGGGGACTGGGTTTCGATGGACTTTTGGTCCTTCTTCCCTTTGTCCTTGTTTTCCTTGGGTACTTTGGTGTATTTCCCCAAGGCGTCTTTTCTTGGTGCTTCCACCAAGGCTTCGGCGACTTTTTCGTCTGCCGTGTTTTCTAACTGGTGTGCTACAGCCAGTTTGATTTTATAATTTATGTCATCGTGGTCGACGACTGACATTGGGCCCATTCTTATGGTCCCAACGTTGACTTCCTCACCCTCTGAGTCAGGTGAGTATTGAGGTCCTTCGTATGGGTCCTCCACTTCGAAGCTTGATGCTTCGGAGTTACCAGAGTTGTTCTCTGGTTTCTCATCTGATGAGCTTTTTGACTCTTCATCTGTTGAGTTCGCGATTTCCATGGCAGCTATACGCCTTGGTTTTTCATCGCTCGTTATATTGTGTCTTGGGCAATCTTTCGTTTGCCCTATTTTGCCGCATTTGCCGCAAATTGGAACTGACTTTTGGTCAGTTTTCCTCGAGTTTTTCGAGGATGTATCCTCTTTCCATCTGGGTTTCAGCTCTTCCGCTTTCTTTCCTGACGGGAGGGCTTTGCCGCGGCTCGTTGTTGCCGTGGTGGTTGTTCGGGTATAGTACCCTGATTTGTAGGCTGAAGACATCTTCAGCCCGTCAATTATCTCGTCTACATGAGATATTGCTTTTAACATCTCCTCGTTTGAGGAGAAGTCTGCTCTGATTCTATCATGAGCAATCATTTCCCTCTTCCATTCGAGGGGAATGTAGTTTAAGAACCTGGCGTTAAAGGACGCCTGGTCTGGCGGCGTCACCATTTGGGACGCTGCTTTTGACAGTTCTAAGTAGAACTGTTTTAGGCCTTTTTCCGCTTCGTATTTGACGTTGCGGTATTTCTTTGTCGCGTTCAACGCGGCGGAGGCTTTGATGAAGGTTCTCATCAATATGTTGAGAACCTCGAGGAACATGCCCTCGTCTCCTCTGAGGAGAGTTTCGTCTCGGAGTCTAATTCCGAGGTCAAATGCGGGTCCCCCTAATCCACGAATCAAGCAGTCCAGGTGGACTTCGTCGAATTGGGGACCTTTGCATCCTCGCGAGGCGAGGAATCCCAGTAGTTCTGTGAACCACTGCCAGAACGATTCCATGTCGTTCTCCCCTGACCATTTCTTGTCAGGGAATGCCGGCCCATTCTTTAGGGCTTCTGGCTTCACTCCTTCTGGGTAGGGAGTGAGTGTCAGGGCACATACCCTGACTTAGCCTGGACCCGGACCCGCATCCGGACCCGCTCCACTTCCCGCGCACTTCCTGCGGTTTATATCACTTTCTTACCCACAGTAGCTCTTTGCCTTGAGACTAGGCTGTTACGGGTTGGGCTGTGGGCTATAGAGAGAGGGGTCATGGGGACCCAGGGTCCGTCCCCTGACAGTGAGTATTCTCACTTCGGCCATTCTTATGGCCTTTTCGTACCATTTCTCCAGGTACTCTTCTTGCTCCCCTGCCTTCGCGGGGTCGCTGTCCAATGGAGATCTCTCCTTTGGGGGGGTTTTTGCTGGGGGGAATCTTTCTCGCAGCATTTCTTTGGTTTCAGGCGAATTCGCCTGAAGTTGTATTTGTATTCTCTCATTGTTTTGAGAGGGTATGAATGCGTTACCTCTCTGTTCGAGAGGTCCGTCATAATTGGATGTTTGGCCGAACCTTTGGTACGTGCCAATTCTCCTTCTGATCTCTGAACGATGTCTTCTCTCGGCATCGTCTTCTCCTATCCTTGGGAGAAGGATCTCCTTAGCGTCTCTGTCGAGTCGCTGGTGATATTCCAGTGTGCTTTCACTGGTGGTTCTTTTCGTGAATTTTTCACGAGTTCTATTTATGTCCTGGACCGTGGTCCAGGGGTGTTTATTTGTTTCCTCACTTTTTTGTGAGGAGTTTATTTCCTTCAGCAAATCTGTTTGTTCGCTGATTTTTTCTGTCAACGCGTCGATTGCGTTGGCCATTCTTTCTAGAGTTATCTCTAGACGAGCCATGCTATTATGGTTCGTTTCCTCGATCTTTTTCTGGATCGAGTTTATCGCGTTTATTATGCGCGATTCCTGGTTTTCCAGGAGGAAGTTTGGTTGGGCGAGCAGTGACTCTCCCCAGTTGACATTTCCACTTCTGGGAGTTCCAGAATGGGTTCTTGGAGTGAACACTCCACGCTCGCTTTGTTTTGGCGAGGCCGTTGCGGAGGGTGCTTCCCTTTCATAGAGGGGTCTGTTCGCTGGTTTCTCCTTATTTTTACGTAAGGCTTCCTCAGCGAACTCCCTCATTTCAGTTCGCCTCCTCCTCATTATCTCGGAGACCTCCTCCGAAGTTGGCGACCTTGCCTTGTCTGGCATGGTGCGTGGGGGTGTAAACAGCAGAGGCTCTTTTGGAGCTTCCGCGCTCTGAGAGATCCTGCTCTCAGGGCGTATTTTCGCGCCTTCTCGGGCTTTCAGCCTGAGAAGAAGTTGATCTTCACTTTCCGTCCTCCATTCGGACGGAACCTGGAACAAGTCCAGTAGTTTTTCGGATAGCCGACGCGGGGTTTCTTCCCTTTGTTTCCCTTTGTCTGCCTTTAGGGCTTGACTTGGGGACGTGATTGGGAACTCTAGGGGATAGTGGGGCCCTGGGGTTTCCTGCGGCTCTATCCAATCAGCTTTTTGGGCTGATCGTTCAGCGCTTACGCGTTTTTCGCGCAAGTCGATTACCTCGTGAGGAGATAAGGGATCTTCCCCAGCTTGGGTTAGATCGGTTTGTTGTGGAGTTCTGGGGGTATTTTGCCCCGCACTTACTCCACGTAAGTTTCTAAAGTCTTCAGGGACCAGCCCTGAAGTGGTTGCTTTTCCCGGATCGCGTTGATCCTCGTCGTCATCTGACGACGGCTTTTGGTTTGAATCTCCCATGATGGGAGGTTGCGGTTTCTTAATAAACCGCTCGCTTCTTTTTAACGTCGCTGCAGATGCGACCTTGCCCTTGCGGGCGTGTTTAGGCGCCATAAGCGCTTCCGAATCAGATGTTGAGATTTTATAGTTGTGGGTTGTGTTGTAAAACACACCTCATGCACTTAAAAAAGTGTGAGGTCTTTGGGGTTGCTCAGCACACAAAGCCGTAAGTGATACAAGATGATGTATTTTACGGTGGTGTGTAAGCGGTTACCCGGAGGTTCCCGCTTGTCCACGTGACTATATCTATCTAGTTTACATGTGACTCGGGGTTCGGGGCTATTGCCCTGACAGATGTGTACGAGGGAACATATCTGAATGTTGCGTGGGCTCCTTCTAGGAACGTCGAAGTGTCCTGAAACGAATGCAGAAGTACATCCATGGAGGGAAGTGCTGTTAGTAACACCACGTCATGCCGTACGGACACAATGGAACGAACTTACATTACAGTTACACTGTCGGAGAGCAGGATCAGTCTTCTACTGATTCCATGCAGAAGATACAATGGAAGGACAAGAGTTGACTCTGTCAGAACGCTGGGCAGTGGCACAAAACGTGTACAAAGACGACAGTCATTCAGGCTGATTAAGACGCAAAGGAGGACTGCCTCCAGTAGTGGAACTAGCAGTCAGAAGCAAAGTCATAATAACCACCAATCTGGACACTGACATCGATGTGGCAAATGGGGCTCGGGGACAGATAGTGGCGTTATGGGCAGATCCCCGTGAAGAGACAGAAACCTCCGGAGCGGTGCAAGAAATGAAGTATCCACCGTCTTGTGCATTGGTGAAGTTAGAACGATACCAAGGACTGCAAATAGAGGAACTGGGGGAGTCGACGATCCCAATCATTCCTATTGAACGATCATTCGAAGTGAGGATGGGAAGTGGAGATAAGAAAGTCATCAAAAGGAGGCAGATAACACTGGATGGGGCTTACGCTTTTACAGACTATCGTGTGCAGGGACAAACCATAGAGTACCTATGGGCAGACATAGGAACCCCACTGAGAGGAAGTCTTACACCCTTCAACGCGTATGTCACACTGTCAAGAGCATGAGGATGCACAAACGTAAGATTGGTATGAGACTTCAAGGACTCACTGTTCACCAAGATACCGTGCGAGCTCTTGGAGAAGGAGGATGAAAGATTGATTGGAATGAGCGAAAAAAACAAAAGAGAATGGACAAAACAGAAACAGACACGTTGAAACGAATGATACAATACAAAGAAGGACATGTATCCGAAGCGTGACCAGAAAGTGATAACCAATCCCAAACTTGTGTAATGAACAACAACAAAAGAGAAACCAACACGTAAGCACAAGTAGCACAAACTACATAATTATGCCAGGGCAGAGTGACACTGCTGTGCAGGTAACTCTGTGTGCAGAGTAATTTGTTGTGTGTGGTGAGAAAGTACACGAGACATTTTTGGTACACTTTTGCTGCTCCATGTGATTACATAAGCGGAACACGGAACCAACCTACGTTGCCCACCCCCAGTATGTACATTGCTACGGTTCGAAGTCGGTGCACGGTAGTTGCCGGGAGATGGCCTCACTTGGGTGGGAGCGTCATTTCAACGCATCTCTCCCTGTCTGCTCTTTTAAAATTAGTCCGAGCGGCATCCAGGCTTAGAAACGACCTACATCCATGTCTGAACGACTTCGCATCGGGGACCCATTGGTTCGAACTACGCGTGGGTAAAAAAACCGTCGTTTTGAACGAGCTGGTACCAAATGGCGATCCGTTTTGTCATGTTAGTCTTTTCACGCTCTCCGACATCAATCTTTCGGCACTAGACGTCCTCAAGGATATCTTCAGGCATTCCAAGTGGGTCTCAGGGGTCTGAGTTGGCATCATCGGTCTTCTCGCGTCGAACTTGACTAAATTAGATTGGAATCACCTGTCTAATCAGTTGGACCCAACAGCATCAGCAAATCGTCAAGGTTGCATGATTGAGACCTTTGGTATCATGACTGAGTCTAAGCTCCGCACTAGAGATAGGATTGAGAGTGACTCATAGGTGCCCAAAATTGCTATGTGAGAAAAATAGGAATCCATGCACAGTGCCGATCTTATTCTGGTTGTCTATTTTGGCAAGGCATAGGGTTTGAAGCACTGGAAGCGAGACACTTTTGGGCCATCGCTCCTGAATGAACCTGGTGTAACATAACCGTGTAGGATTGTCATTGGACTGCGATACATGACTACATGACTAATGACAATAACGAGTCGTGAAACGATGATAAAAGTTCATTGTTATTCGGTCACAATATGGCAATCCATATATGTGGGTCTAGTCTCCAGGGGCACGCACTATGTACCTCCTTCAAGCGTTAATTGTACAGATGTTTGGATGTTTATGATTCTTCGTCAGGGTTGTTCGATAACTGTCCTGAGCTATTTTTGGGTTCACGATCGAGAGAAATCTCAGGAATCTGCCCCAAGATGATCAGCAAAATCGAAGGAGTGCAGGGAACCAAAGGCTGTTCGTGTATTTTAGAAAGGAAAAAAAAAAACAACTCACTCCAAGCCTAACCAGGAACGAGATAAACGCGCAGATAGCCGCATACCAGAAAACCGCTCGTAAACTCGTCGCATACGCTTCTCGTGCAGATCGTTGCAGTTCAGGCGGTAAAGAAGCGACGAGACTAACAGAATGTCGAATCCTCTGCACGATCTATAGATCCCAAATTGAAAAACAGCATGGTGGTCAATAAAGAGTTCCATTTTGCGTCTGGCTGGACACGGATGAATCGTTGCTTTGTTACTGACCTCTTCCGCATCAGGCCCATGGATTCGAGCGCGAAGTTCAGCAAGGAGTTTAGTTTGGAGTATGGCAGAAGAGGCTGCAACGGCAATTGCTTGTCCTTTTCCAACCAGGTGGGTGCAAGGTAAAAAAAAAAAAGGCCGGTTTCTACTCACCGGCACCACGAAATAACTGACTAAACCCTGTTGCAACGGCAATATGTTGAACTGCAAAGGGAGAGCGAGATCCGGAATCATATGAGCTGCTTTGCTTTTTTTTTCCTGACAACTTAGCACCGGGGAATGGCGCACCAACCTTCGACGGCTGCTAGAAGCGCAACTGAAAGAGTGATATTGTGAGACTAATCAATGCGTGTGTTTTTCGCGCGCGAGCGCGGCATCCTCACGAAACGACAGAAACTTTACCTGTACTATTAATGAGGAGCCCGATCAGCGGAGAAATCGATCAGCGAGGATCAGGAAATATGAAGACATACGTTGTCTGCAGTACAACTGCGTTCCCAAATCCTAGCGGGATCTAAAATCCAAGAAGTAAGGCGGGTAGTTGCGTAAATCATTGCACTTTTCGAAACCAACACACTATATTAAACCATTGGGCCCAAGAGGAGGAGTTCATTTGAAGGTTTGCGATGAGGAATGCAGTAATGGTCGGACATATCCTGTCAGATTGACAAGACGGGGGAGGAGGGGAAGGTTAGCAAGGCCCTAAAGGACGAATCTGAGAAAAGGAAAAAAGAAAGAAAAACCAACCCGAAAATAACATTGAGAACTTTATACTTCCCGGTTTTCTTGATCATCCAGCTAATTGGCCGGCCAAAAGATTAGGTCTTATTTCGGTACCAATGATAGAGAAGATGTACCCAGCGAACAGCGAACCGAGGGCCATAGCGGCAGCAGTGGGGAACAGATGACCACCTAAGACGCCCCAAATGTGATTTCTTTCGCGTTAGCGGGCAACCTTTCGTTTACCAACTTACCAGCTTCCGAAGTTGAGGTCAACTGAACGCTCTGGAACCATAACGGGAAGAAGTAAATAATGGTGAAATTGCATTGCGCAACGAGGACGTTGGAAATCCCGACGAGCAAGGGGATACGTTGCCTCAGAAGCCAAAGGGGAAGGATGGGTTCTTTGGCGACGCAGAGCTCGACGACGACAAATAGGACTGAAAAGGCGATCGCCACTGAGAGTGATGTGAGTACCAAGGGGTCACGAAGCTACCAGGTTTTCAAGATATAAATTCCGAAAAGATTTCTCCCAGCCCAAGGTTACACGCACTGGTGTATCGCCATTGAAATGAAGCGACAGAAAGCCAAGAAACGATCCCACCTGATTGCATTGTTAGCAAAACGTTTTTACGTCTACGGATGAGAAGGTTTTCATACTCCAACGAGAAGACACAAGCATCCTGCATAATCGACGCGCCGAAGAGCATCCCATGCATTCCGTCCCTCCCCTGGGGCTACGTAGTTGAGGGAAGACGATGTCAAGAAAGAAGACAGCGCAAAAAAGGGGAGTTGAAGTAAGAATGCCCATCTCCATCCCAACCTGCGGAAGAATAAAAATGACACTCGAAAAGCGGGTTACCGTGTGAGGTTACTTACGCATCACTGATCCAGCCTCCCAGGGGGCCGCCCATTCCCATACCAAGCCCATCTACCGCGATGAAATGTTAGATAATGGAGATTTGTCGGAGGGAAGGGATGTGGGACTAACTGAATATTGCTGCTACTCCACTTGCGAGGCCGCGCTCCCGCACGCTATACATATCCGCGACTATAACACTAAATCCGATATGGTAGGTGAGCGACGCGGCATGGTATCACCATACTTCGGCTACACACTAGCTACTAGTAAACAATCCCCCTCCGCCCAATCCGGAAAACTATTTGCAATCAAGTTTAATTAGAAAAAAATTCAACATATTCTTGGGGAGGAAGGGAGAAAAAATTCCCCATGCTCCTTACAAAACGAGCTGCGATCAAGAATTCCATATTTCTGGAAAGACCACAAGCCAAAATTCCAACAGCGGTAAAAACAAGGGCGGTCTGATTAGCCCCCCTTCGGCCCAGTGCGTTGGAGAGTCTCCCGTAAAGTGGAGTGAAGGAGCAAACAGCGAGTAGGTATCCAGTACCGAGCCATCCTGCTTGGTGAGATGATTTGAATTCGCTAGAGATGGAACCAAGTAATGTTGCAACGAGCGTCACTTTGGGGAAAGATGGGTGAGAAAGACATCATCCTCGATCCCGAAGAGGGCCCGAGAGAGAGCTTACTGTTTACAGACTAGGGGGATAGCACGATCGTGAATTAATTCAACAGTGGGCGCTTGTACTCACGATTAGAAAAGTGGCTAACCATACTCCAGAAAGTATGGTCCATCGTGCCCTTTTGCTCAGTTCCAAGGGTCCAACCTGATGCTTGAGGGGTTTATCGAGTGAGCCGTTTTCTAATGGTGTGATGGAGACACTGTTGTATTCTTGCAATACGTCGGCCCGTCCGTCTAAAAGAGGTGTGCCTTCGGTTCTTGCACGCTGGAAGTCAGCCATCCAAGAGCTACTGAACTAGTCGAATGGGTGGTACAGTAGGATGTTGTGTCTATGAGCGACAAAAACGTCGTCCTGCTGAGGCAGATCGGGGCCGTGTCACTTCTGCAATTAATAGCCGCCTATGTAATCACTGTGTAACCTAAAACCCGAATTTTTGCATCCTTACGTAACGTGTATATGTCAAGTTCGGCTGAGATCGGCATCCGTCCGTACTCCAAAGTTCTGGGCCTCTGAGTCTTCGCACCTGACCGGTCGCCGTGGTGATTACAAACTCGTCATGACTGGAAGAACAATCCGCGGTTCAACGTGCAGCGTCCTGACAGTAGTAGTGACGAGGGGAAGCGGCCGTGGTTGGAACTTCATGGACGCGGCGAGCTTTGCCTGTAATGTCTTGAAGGCTAGCGCTCGCACGCTCTATTGATCGTGATAACGGCCAGAATGCCGGAGGACCCGGTTATTTAATTCCAAATCGAGCTCGGGTGCTCAACGATTGGTCGGGGGTGCAAGCCAAGACAGGACTATGAGCATCAGGACGGGAAGGCCGTTTGCGTCGAGTGTCATACTTGAACAACTCCAAGTTCTGCTGCCACATATATCATTCGGGGGGGACACATGCTCATACTCATATGTGTTCAGGTTGCAGGGACCCAATCAGTACAGGGTGGCCAACATGCAACATATTTTCGCCACTTGATCACATTGTGTTATGTACACTAAGGGAAAAACTTCGGGAATTCAACGCAAGCCACACCTTGCGCTTTAACAGCGCTTGCGTGATGCTCGATCAATGAACCTAATAGCAAGTCGGCTCTTCACCGTTGTGTACCAGCTACTAAGTACATATGCACGGGACCGCTTTCGCTCCGCAGCCTTCATCATATCACACTACCTCTCTGTACTCTGCGGCAAACTAGTTGCCATTGATCTCTCGCTCATCGACGGGGACGGCCTTACTTCCCTCACCTTTTTGTGTTAACGGTCCTTCATACTGGGCAGCCGCGGCATGTCTACTGTACTCTGATCTGGTGGCTATTCCCAAGCTTCAATCTCAACGCGATGACAAAGTCGTACCTGTCCCTTTTGCTGTGGCATAGCAGGTCGTCTAAGCCCCCCTTTCTACGCCAGCCCCGACATCGGTATACCTCATCGCTATAACTGTCTCAGCCTTCTGTGCGAAGCGAATTACCTCCCATCCTTTGTGAGGGCGGTTTACGTACACGCAACATGGTGGGTCTTCACAAGGTGATGTTCAGGAGTTCAAGGGAAAAAATGTCACACAGTTCTCGGCAAGCAGCCCCGCAGGGGAGATCAAACGATGGCGACCAGCATACTATTCCTTTTTTCAAAAAAAAAAGACCACAAGACCACGGAACCGATATTCAAAGCGCTGCCCCCCGCACAAGCTCCGGGAACATGCCCAACAATTACTTGCCAGAGCGTTCATCACGTCAATGTCGGACCCGTGTCCGTCAGGCACGCACTAATCACTCTTGGCATTGTGTATGTGCGGTGATGAAGCGGTATTAGTAACAATCGTGATCAAATTCAAACTCCCCCGGATGTCAAAACCTTCGGCCCACCACGACTACCACACAAGGACAACCAGGCTGAACAACTTAACGCCGCCACCGGGCCACTTGGTGGTTGACGACCCTGCAACCAACTTCTCTCTCGTTGTTTGGTTGTTGTTCTTGCGAGAGTATAAATACGAGGCCAATGGGGGGTTGGTGGCATAAACACACCAAGGATAACGCGTAACCCCCTCCTTCGTCCTTTTCGCGCGCAACCCTTTCTCTACAATATTAAGCAAATGGACTCCTTCACCACTTTCGCTACTGCTCTGACCAACGCTTCTTCTTGGACGTCTTTCATCATCTCATCATCCGAGCCTGTATGCTCTGCTTCCTCGCAAGTAGAGCTTGAGGACATCAAGGATGAGGATAGGAGCGGTGGAGGATCTGGCGGTTGTGTTATTGCATGATTAAGGTCCTCACACAATGTATCACACCTGGTTCGTTGCTCGTACCTCTTTTTGGCCCGCATGCTTCTTACGCCATCCACTATTAGCTTCTCTGCGGCCTCGTGCTAGTTCCAGCTGAAGAACTTCGATGTGGCTGCACAACATCACCTATCTCGCTAGCCTCCCTCATCTCTAATCCCTTTCTTCCAACTCACTATTCCCCCCCAACGCTCTCTGCGCCACCAACAACATTACTCTATATGCCTCCTCTCTTTACCTGTATTGTATCACCCTTCGTTCCCAAACGCGAAACAACTGGCCCGATATTATCCATCAGCTGCCATTTTTTTATCATTATATTCATTAAGAGCGTGTTCAATCCCGCTTGTTTTTTTTTTTCTTTCTTTTCTTTCGCAGACGTATCAGATAGTGCTGGTGGTCTGTGGATTATGGGGATTTGTATCGAATCACAGTACTGTATTGTGCACTACGATATATTTTTTTTGTATTTCATTCATGCTCTCTCCATGAGCGTTAGGTGACAACGGATGCGGATGGTAAATACGTGCCCCATGCGAAGAAGCTGTAGCATCAATTGCGTTCTGGCTCATGGTTCAAGTTGAATAGGTCACGTGTTGAAATTATCCTGTCCTTTGCGTTCAAAGTTATTTTCCGCTTCGATACTGCACATGGACTGTCTCGCATTCATCCCTGGTCAGCGCCTTTAGATCCATAGACTGACAGCGCACGCACATCAACGTACAACATACGTACGACGCCATTCTAGCAAAATGACACAACAAACACAAAAAAAAGGATTGAATGCTCAACACTCAACAGCTACATCTTTGATCCAAGAAGAAAAAAAAAGGTTCTCACAAGCGCGTGACTACCATTGCACGCCTAAGGACGCATCGGTCTTAGCCATGCCTCCGCAGCTTCGAACTGTTCTGCTAGATCTCCGTGTACCCACCCAGGTTCCGAAGCCAGGCTACGAATAGCGATGAGGGCCTGGACCAGATCGGCCAGAAAAAAAGCATTAGTCAGACGAATCAATGGCAAACAAAAAAAGAAGCAAACGGCCATATCACTGAAAAAATAACTCACAGCGTCCCAGAATCGGAAACCTCTCTCAACTTCAGCCCGCGGATTCTTGATTCCTTCGAACGTCTCATCGCAAATTTCCAGGGCAGCTTCCTTTGCATCCGCCACTCCTTCAGGATCCGAACCGTCGATCTTGCCACCATAAATCGCTACGAGCGCATCGAGGTAGACTTTGGCTAAGATACCGAATCCGGTGTTGACATCGGCTTGGAAGGGTAAAGACAAAGAAATGTCGAGAAGATCATCGCGTGATCGTCTGGCATGTCGTTGGAGGAGCATGTTCATCGCTGTAAGCTCGACAAGGGAACGCAAAGCTCGTGATAGAGAACGAAGGAAGGAATTGAAGACCAGAAGCTCCCGCGATAATGGCCCACTCCAGGGTTGTGGCTAGACCGACCGCGTCAGTGTGTGTATGAAGGGTGACGCATGAGCATACGGACCTTGAATGCCAGCGGAACAATGCTAAGCACACGCATGATGAGTAGCATGCAGCGTTTCTCTTCATCTGCAGGGAGAGCCTGAGAAAACCTTTCAACGTCCCAAGTAATGAGTGCTGCTCACCCGTCCCGAAGCTTGGGCCTCCAGAATATGCTCGCCCAGACCACAAGTTGTTGTGCAGTACGCCGGCACGAACTAGTTCAAGGAAGAGGTATAGAGAATCTTGGAATTTGTCATTGACCTTGCATTGTTGTAAGGCTGCATGCATCGCGCGAGCTAAGGACGAGTGCGTATGTGAGTGAATCAAAAATCTGGGAAACGAGTCCGAATCAGTGACAACTGGGTCATGCTCGTCACTTCCGTTTTACATTACCCTCGCAACTCCAGGAAACGCCAAATAACATTAGCGACAACCTCATCCTTTTTTTCTAACACTATATTTGCATGTGGCTTCGTCCGGGTGCGGTGAGCCAGTTTCTCAGTGGCCGTCGCCCCAAGGCAAAGAGCAAAGTCTATCGTTGAAGACTGAGCGGAGTCCCCCTCCTCAGCTTGAGCACATCCACATGACGATTGTCGTAAAGAACTTACGTTTTGTCGTCGCAGCTCTTCCTCAATGATTGCATTCAGAACATTCCATCCCGAGACGCGCTCCACGAGCTGCTGCGTAGCTTGTCCATTATGTACTATGCCTTTCCCGTTACCATACTGTTGAGTCTCAAACCAGAAGTACGCTTGTACGCGTTTCGTTGACCAAAACTGATGTAACACACTACTGATGAGGGCCAGCGCGGTTGCTCTGGGACCCGTAGCGCCTTCGGTGATGACCTCCCTCACGAACCGCTTAAATTCAGTGGTCTCGCCGTTATCAAGGGGTGGGTTCTCTACAACTTGTCCTGACGTGAGCCAAATGAGGGGCTGTGGGCTCACGAGGCCTCGGGAAAGGTAGAAATACACCTCATCTGGTAAGCGATGTGTGAAAATGTCTTCGAGGTTTTGAGGAATGTCCGCTGCGGTTGTATTGTGATGGCCTGGATGACCTTGTGGCTGTGGAGACATTGCCAATGGGAGGGGTTGCACGACGCCATCATTTGACATGATGAGAGAAAACTTAACCATAGAGCGGGTCCGTGCGAATTGGTCGACATATTGGGTCTGTCGGACGCCAGGGTGCTCGCTTTGTGCACTGACGGCACTGTACCCTGATCTGTAGTATTTGACCATTTCAATAACGGGTCTGAGCGATTGCTCATGGATGATTGGGGGGAAAGTTTGAGAATGGTCGAAGCCGGAAAGGATGCCGACGTCCAAAAACTGCTCCTCACTGAGGGCAGTTTCGTTAAGCAAGCTCCGCTTGTTGACATATGTGAATGAAGGGTTTGGGGAGTTGAGGTCGAGGGAAGTGATCAATTTGTCGAGTGCCGGGTACAGCAGCGCATCGCTAGCAGCGAACACAGCGTTAATGTAGCTTTTCTGATGCCGTTGTAAGTAGATGAGCTGTACAACGCTTTATTAGTCCTCTGCGCAATAGGAGCAGCTATTCTGAAACGTACCTGGGCCCAGGCAACATATGGGGCAACAATGAAGTCCACGTTGCGTTGTTTGAAAATGCGAAGAACGGAACGCCAGAGGTCCCATTGAACGATATTGCTTCGAGTCTCGAAGAGTTTGGTGGCTTGGTCGGTTTGACCATGTTCATAACAATCCCAAGCATCCTTACGATCTTTGCATGAATCAGCATGCCCGTGAGGATTGGGCTTCTGCTTCTTGTTTGGAAGCAATCCAGGAAAGACGAACACAGGTTTGATGCGCAGCTTTTCGAGCGTTCTGAGGTCTGATTCAATTTTAGCTGTGAGTGAGAGGGGAAGACCACCAGTAGCGGCTAGCAAAGGTTCGCGAGTCTCCGGCGATTCAAGCAGAAGACGAAGGTAATGAGAGGCGTCTATGCCAAGGCGGCTGTCCGAGAGGACATTGAGGGATAGCTCATGATATTGCTTGTGCTCCGACAGGTATTCTGAAGCATCGTAAGATCAAATATAAGCGCTCAAACGCGACCTGACAGTGGGCTTCTCTCTCAACTCACGGTCGAGATGTTTGATTGGCATTTCCTCAAAGATTTCTGTTTACAGCGAGTCGAGTGACCTGGAACTAACCAGACCGGACTTAACGGAGATTAGCCATAAAGGACGAACGAGAAAGCTTGCAACGAGGTGGGTGGCTGGTCGAGAGCAGCGAGCACGACGTGGGTATTAGACGTTAGTCCCAAGCAGGGTTGTCAGAGATAGCACTTGACAAATAGCACAGTGTTGAGAGCGGTCCAAATACCTCTTGAGCGTCAGAACTCAAACACGGTGCGCCAATCCCCGTGCCCAAACTCCGAAGCTGCATCCATCCACTACAAACCACTCAGCCCGCCGTTCGAGACTCCCCCACCGCCTCTGTGCACATCGGACACGCCTCCGACTCCAACCATTATCTCTGCGCCGACTCTCCCGGCCGGGCATTTGCCTGCTTTCCTCTCAAAACAAGTTTTAGGTCCCAATCCGTCGAGCCCGTCCGCGATGCCCTGGCCCGGTCCACCAATGCACCCTCCCCAAGGCCCTGCTCTCGTCCTCTACCCCAATAATGATTCTTTCCTTCCCAAGACTGTTTCTCTAATCCCTAGCGGAACGCGTGTAAAGATCGGGCGACAAACAAACCAAAAGACAGTACCTGGCCAGACGAATGGATATTTCGACTCAAAGGTCCTTAGTAGACAGCATGCTGAAGTCTGGGAAGAAGGTGGGAAGGTAGTGTATTGACATTCTCCTCTCATTCACGAGAGATAGTGACACTACTCTCAACGTCATTCATACCCCTTCTACTTAGATATTTATCAAAGATGTGAAGTCAAGCAACGGGACGTTCGTCAATAACGAGCGCCTCAGCGTTGAAGGTGTAGAGTCGGACCCATGGGAGCTCAAGTCAGAGGATCGTGTAGTGCGTTGCTTCTTTACTCTTTCAGCATTCATCAGCAATATTTTGTTTGTTTAGGAATTTGGCATAGACATCGTTGGAGAAGATAACAAGACCATTATCCATCACAAAGTGGCTGCAACTGTATACTGCGTCATCACCCCCGACGACTGGGCAATGCTACCTATCCACCATTCTCAACATCCTGGTCTTGGCAACAACTTCCATCTCGGCCCTCAACAACGACGACCTTCCATACAGCAACTCCCGAGCCCTGGAGGGCTGGGTGGGATGGGTGGCCCTGGTTTGGGTCTGGCTGGCCGTGCTGGAAAGAGCGGGCTGTCCTTCGACCACATCCTCAACCGTCTGCAGTCCGAACTGCAAAAGAGCCGGGAAGCTGGCTCTGACTTGTCAGGCCTTACTGGAACTATGAATGAGATAAATGAATCCTTTCAAGGCGGTAGCCATGTAAGTACCTGTGACCCTGTCCGCATCATGGATTTCTTGTGATAAATTTGCATTTTAGCCTCCCACTAACCTTCATCAATCAATTCCTCCCGTCCGCCCCCCTCCAACCGAATCGCAACCTCCGCCCGTTGATTCCAATGTCTCATTATCCTCCCTCCACACTCAACTCGCCCAGACACAGTCTAACCTCGCCTCCCACGTCGAAAAACTGCATTCGCTTGAGAGCGTCATCGCTGACCACCAACAAATGAAGCTCGAGGTTCAGCACATGCGGGAGCTCATGGAACAGCGGCAGCGTGACATGGAATCGTTGGTGCCATCTTTCCACTCTTCGAAAGTCAACCACCACGTGCACGTTGATGACGACGATGATCGCCGTAGCATCCTCACACTGGTGCCAGAATCTTCTGGATCTGGTGCCCTAGTGTCTTCCACTGCCGATCGTGATCATGATGACGATGAACGTGGCCGTTCGGAAGCCATTCGGCCTCGTACCCCTGAACCCCACGGCCTTGACGAGGATGAGGATGACGCCCACGATGGTCTGCACCGCTTTGACAACCCCGTTACACGACATTCCCCTACCCCTAACTTCAATGCTGGATACCCAGGCCAAGCACCACATACCCCCGACGACCTTCGGTCCCAAAATGCCCAGCTCGCCTCACGGCTTGAGGCCCTCACAAGTCAACTTGACACCGCTCTCTCTCTCTCCCAATCCCTTCAGCAGCAGGCCGAGGCCGCCCAATTTAATCTCGAACGACTGCAGGCCCGTGTCGAATCGTTGGAGGCCGTTATCGAAGCCAAAAACGAGCAGGAACGACAGCAGCAACCACCCCAACCCGAGCCCGAGCCCCCATGCGTTCCAGTCGAGGAGACCAAGGAGGAGACTCCGGCCGTTGGACTCGATGTCTGGGAGGCATGGACCCAGCGTGTTGAGGGACAATGGAAGGTGGAACGTGAGGAATGGGATAACGAGCGTCTTCGTCTCAAGGAGGCCGCTCGTGAATGGGAAGCACGGATGTGTGCTATGGAGTCGCGCGAGGAGGAGCGTGTCAAGGAGGGAAAAAGCATTCTCGATGCTATCAAGCTTGAGAGGGAGGCCGAATTGAAAGCGTGGTCCTCGTCGGGGAGTGATATAGCCGTCGTGGACCAACCCAACTACCAGAAGAGGCCGTTAGTCAATGGGATGTTGAAGCACCTTACAAAAAAGCGAAGTGGGAGTTCGTCGAGTTCGTCCTCGAAAGTTCGCAAAAGGAAAGTGAAGCGTCCTATCCCAGTTGCTACCCCACCGCGCTCGCCTGACTTAAACGGTGAGATACACTCAGTTGAACACTCTTCGGAAGAAGGTTCGGGCTCGCGATCAAATTCTCCTGCACCTCCTGGTAATCTTAAACCGTTTCCGTCGGAGGTTCGAATGAACGGGCACGCTAAGTTTGGGTCGTTCCCAATCAGTCCCGCACCCAGCGTACGTAATACAGGGCCACGATCAGCTTCAGCCGGTAGCGAAATTGACACTGGAGAAGAAGGGCATCGGCAACGCGACATCACACCAGGCTCGGGTCCACCTCCAACAATAGTCAAGGTTAATAGCACGTCTTCGAAGCAGTTGGGAAATAATGTAATTATTTATCCTACTTCTGTTTCGTTCTAACAGTGCTCAATACACATGCTTCCGTCCTTTTCCTTTTCGCTCCGATTATAGCCGTTACCGCTCGTGTCAGCCGCGGGCGTTGTCTTTATTGGGGTCGCTGCATGGGTGGTTGCAAATCGAATGAAAGATTAACGCGAAGGGTATTTACATGACCGGAGGCATTTCACTGTTCCCTTTCGTCCACTTTCGACCTCATGGCAATCGCATGTCATTTTCCAAAAATCACTTATTCGCTTCTTATGACATGCGAGCTCCTCTTCCCTATCGTAGCTTTCTTTTGCATGCACTGCGTTAACTTCCGCACTCATCACGACCCTGTTGACCATTTCGTTGGTTACTATTACGCCTTCCCTTTAAGACTTTTTCCTCTGTTCCGAATCCTACTATGTTACGACACTATGTATTTTCTTATCGCATCCTCGACCTTGCAATTCACTTTTAATAGCCTAATCCCCCTCCCCCTCCATATCGGGTTTGAATGGAGAGATTTTTGAGTGCGTTGCCGTCGTTGTTCGATGTAGCTCTGATGTATTGAGTGGTGATGATTTGCTGACGAAAGCGCCAAATGTCAGTCCAAATAACCGCTCCGAAAACATCCTGGCTCAGCGGCGAGTTCAAGCGCACGTATCGTCGAGTGTCCATAGGAATACATTTCCACATCAAGAAACAACTATTTAGGCAGTAACACATCAAGTAACCGTCATTGATCATTCGCCATCACACACCAACGGGTGAGTCGAAACTTCACGAATGCATGCGATGGCCAACGACAAGCAGGAGAGTCCACCATAGATCAACTGCATCAGTTCGATTTCTGACCAGGCTGGACACACTACCTTGGGTCCATGTATTTCTCCCCGGCCACCCCAACGTCGTCCGAGGCTTAGAACCCACATCATTTGCAATCCTGCAATTCTCTCCACGGAGGCGGAGGTTGATAGCTGAGACCATAGCACTTCTTCCAACGCCAACGAGAGACTGACCGAGTTAGACAGCGCCGTATTATCGCGGTCATCCGTCGATGACGAGTCTCCGTGCACTATGGAGGCTGCCAGCGACTTGGGTTTCTCGGAGGTGCAAAGAATTGTGTGCATGGTAAGGCCTGAGTCCAAGGATGCGAGTCTCGTCGTGCACATACAGAATGTTTAGTGGTAAAAGGGTCATATCAGCTGTCTAGTTGGTTTGGAACCTGAACCTAACTACGCCGCGCCGTCACATCAAGTGGGACCAACAGATTGTAGCTTGAACGTGGCTCAACAGGGATCGACAATATAAATTCAGCGCATGAGCGTGGCCTTAAGGTCACGATCACCCAATAAACGAAGTGGCCTATCAAACAAACCAGCGGGCACCGAGATCCATGGGAACTGGCCGACACGTGCACAGCCAGTAACTGAAAGAACCACAGCATGAACAAGCGACCAAGTAGTGGCGAATGAAACATAAAACGCGGCGCGACACACGATGAGGTTCCGAGAGCGCGAAGAATGGCCCGACCACGGGACACTCTGCGTGGCCTCAAATGGGTGCTGGTTTCACCAGAGAATGAGCGCAGTGAACACTCACTGGAGCTACTAGAGGCTTTAGAGGACCATATACGATTGATCCCTAGAAGCAGGCGAGAATACCTCACTGTACATCACTAAAGTCATCAACGAATAACAGTCCTTGTTCATTGGGAGCGTGAGAAGACGGACTTTCGAATTGAGGGTTTCCGACAGACTCCTCCCAGTCGCTCACCGAATTCTCCGAGGTTTAGCCGCAACTAAACCTCGGAGAAATCGGTGAGCGACTGGGGAAGAGTCTGGGTTGTCCTCTGATAGTTATCAAGCTGAATGGTAAAGCAAAAGCGAACTCATCAGCAGAAATAGAGACGTGCTTATTGCCAGGGAGTATCAAATGATGAAAGCAGTAGGTGCTAATGCCCAGCGTCTCATAGGGAATGCTCAGGTCCATTTGGCGGTCACTGGGTTTTTGACAACGGTGCTTAAGCTGGACTGGGTAATGGAAGGTGGGGAACCGGCACAACCGTTAATGAGGGGAAGAAAATCGTAGAGCTATTGTAAGGAGTGTCATCTCGGACCCTCCAAGACACGCAGTCACCAAAGCAAGACCGCCGGTTCGCATTGTTGTTGATGACTCGCTCGAGACCGAAGATGGAGATTGAATAATGGCCGAGCCCAGGAATTACTGGGCCTTGACGAGCAACTTCTGGTAGTAGTCAGCACTGCAGGATCTGAGTATGCTGAGTATGCTGGGAGGCGGTGTTACTGTACGCGCACGACCAACTACCTGTCACGCGTCACGCTTGGCGAAAGGTTGAGCGACCCGTGTCACGCAACATTGCTCAGGTTTCCGTAAAGAATTATATCCTATCCATAAACTAGAGCAGCGCCGTAGTTTAAGTGTCGAGGTAGAACTCCAGCTTCCAATAATGTCGTGGCATTCTCTGCGCGCCTTCATGAAGAGCATTGGGACATGCAATATAAGACTTTGCGTCTAAATACTCGTTACAACATATTTCCATGTAGGTTGCTCTAGGTTATTGTTGGTTTAAGTTTGGTTGACACCACTATGACAGTGGGAGCTGCCGTGCGTGGGATGTTGGACAGGGGTTACTTCGTTCTGGTGCCAGAGCAAGTGATACTTGACGCATATAAAAATGCAGTGGATAAGAAGGGAAAAACATTGGGAAGCGCAAAAAGAGGGAAATTTCCATCATTCAATGTAAGCGGTCAGTTGTATATCAGGTTGTAACATCTAAGTTTGGATATAGAAGACCGACGTGTTCAAATACGAGCTGCTTCCGATTGACAATGCAATGGATCATATAGCACTTTTGATCCAGGACGCAATACGCGAACGTGCGGCGCCATCAGATTTCACTGTCCACACCACTCCTTTCGACAATCTTCCTGTGTTTACAAGTCATGTACGATTGTGATCTACCGGAGTGGGAAAGTACTTTGGCACCTGAAATCCCAGGAGCTTGCGGCATTACTACTAAAGAACAAGAAACTCGCTGATATGTATGACCTATACAGGACGTGGATCCAAGGGGTCCCTGGAGGTGCGATGAAGGACTTGGATTTTAACCCTCTACGGCAACCTTCCGAGGAGAAGGAACCGCTGGGGAGAGTGTTGCGTCATAAGAGCTTGAAGAAGGAATCGCTGGCGAGGCATACGGAGGGTGCGGACGGTCGAGGAACGTGGACAGTGGATGCGATACGCAAATGGGCAGGGGACGTGTCGAGCTCGGGCAGGGACGAAACGGAGGGTAAGGGACGGGTCGAGCATGGGCAGCAGGGAAAAACGGAGGAGGGTGGAATACACTAGTGTTCGGAATGAAAGATCGTAGCATTCCCAACAAGTTTGCTGGGGTTCAATGGATGGGAGCATCAGAATTGGATCGTTCAAGACGAACCAACTGTTGCACACTCTCATTGATCATATTTCTCTCGTTGGCTTGCCCTCCCTTTCGCCCACCACCCTTGTATCTGCTGAGCCAGACCCACACTTCGGATGTTGGGCCGGTTCTACACCCGCCCGTCCTACTCGGTCTTACAGTCACCGTCCATTCTATACAGTGCGAGACGATAGCGGCTCAATGCTTGCCTTTCTGTGTGAGCCCTGTCAAAGGAAGCTTACAGATTCCAATAATGGCGCCCCAGCCGAGAACAGCAGCTTCATAACTCCGGAATACAAGTGTGAAGCCATGAGCAGCTAATGCCCTCACAACATGCATATGACCCACGCGAGAATTGAAGGATGTTCCAGGCGAGTTCAGAAGGAAGCATTAGGGAAATCGCTGAGGGCGTAACGACCGAATGGATTGTGTGAAGCAGCAAATAAGAATGTAGTGGGATTGAAGGACCATAGAAAGCGTGTGAGAGATCCAGCTGAAACGAAGCTTGAACTTTAGTAGAAGGGTTAGGCGTATGATACTGCGGTGTGCAAGGGGCTTGCGAAGCTTGTTTGTTTGTTTGTTTTATTCTGGATATTTAACCTGCAGAGCTTCAGGCTGCTCAGACGATCTGTTTACAAAGGAAATCAGATTCGTGGGAAAGTGCAATCAGTGGCAAATGGCCACCTCATGGGATGCTTAAGCTCAGCCATTCAGTTTGATCATAACAAAATTAAGTAGCCTGGTACTTGTGGTAATCACAAAACAAGGTCAGGCGTTTACTAGATGCGTGCTTCTTCACAGGAAATAACTAAAGATGATGACTTGGCGGTACCAGGCTGCCTTGTGCGTGAGGGTACGATGTGGCCAGAATTTCTAACTGCTCTCGGATCCTGAGAAAGTCTATAAGGAAACGTAAGGCCGTTGGCCCTCTATTACGGTGCAACTCCACGTTTGAATCCAGATTTTGATGCATGTGACAGAAAAGCAGAAAAACGGCTGGTACAAACAATAATACACTCGAAGATTCATCAAAGATTTATCAGGTCGTCATCTGAAACCGCCGTAATGTATGAAGGACACTACGCGCAAGCTCAACACCTTTCATCTGACCTTGCGACTCCCGCTGCATTCGCAACAGACTATTAGTGGAATAGGTCGCCTGGTCCAGCTTGGACAAGGATGATGGCTGTTCATCGTCCTCGGTGTCAACTCCCTCTTCCGGCGTATGCTCCAAGTGAGAAGCTTGAATAGCTTTCGCAAATCGTGTGGTGAGGTCCGCATAGAGGAACGTAAATTCAGTGACAGCATCGATCCAAGATTGAAGCTTCGAGGGTCTCGATCCACCAGGGAGGAGATCGATGATCTTCTCGAATGAGCCTGTGCCGTCATTTGAGCAAAGAAGGGCAAGTAGGACAGCCAAGTGACCTTTCAAGAAGTTGGCTTCGGCACTGCCCTGGAATGTGCCATATCGACTGAGCTGAATTGCTTCGGGGATTACGAAAGGACCCACTCACCAGTTCGGCGCTTTCCTTTGTCTGGTCGACATACAGGTTAACGACGCATTGCAACCCACTGATCCTGGCGCGACACCGACAACCTCGTAGACATGACCGAGCCAGGGCACATTCAGGGTCGACCACTTTGATGATACAACTTCTTCAGTGAAAATAACGGATAACGAATCGCGACCTACTCACATGAAGAAGAAATGAGCTCTGGACCATTACCCCCTCCTTGTACTAGACTAGTGATCAGCGCCAGCGCCATGCAAAGAATGTCAAGCTTGTTCGCTGCATCATCATCTTGTCTAACAGCCGTCGATTTCGCCGCATAAGACGAAATGATGCGCAAACATGCAGGAACAGTAAGATTGTTCGATAAGATCGGTGTCCGCCAGTTAGATCCCAATTCTACAAGATTCACCAAGGTTCTTAAGCAGCTGATCATCAGGTGTGTACCTATCACTCAGACGTTAGTCCTTGGCATAAACTAAGGAGTCAATCATTACACACCATCAAAAAAATCTTCCCTCTCTTCCAGACTGAGAATCTGGCACACTAGCAACGTCGCTGGGAGACCTTCGACAAATTCCTTTTGCACCGATAACAGGTCGGATTGAATAATTTCCGTTTCCGGAACACTCTGAAATTCCAGGAGCTTGCTTTCCAAAACGCACAGGCAATTGTCCACGTGCTCTAGGCTAGGAGTGTTAAACGAAGTGGATGGGAGGAGTTCGAGACCCTTCGTATAACCGTCGACCCGCGAATTCAGCAGAGGTAGCTCGAGTTTCAGCGAGGCTATTATATATGGAAAGACGGCCACATGATGGGAACGCATTTTGAACAGGGCCTGGGACGCTAGTTGTCGGATCGTGATCTGGGGGGGAACAAATGCCTCAGCATCGGCCCAACCAAACTCAGCGGCAACAGCACTCACATAATTCTCCTCCGAGAGGAGTTTCCCTTTCCTAACGAAGGAGCGTAATTGCTGGATCTTTAGGATAGAGCAGCGCTTAAGCACTAAAGTTCTCGAAGGAAGAGGGGTCTGACAGATGACTTACCAGCACCCGTTCGGGCTTCCCGATCTTCAGCAGTCTGGCATCCTCAGATCGTCCATTCCCCACAAAGAAACCAAATGGATCGACATCGTGGGACCACTGCACGACCATCCCCAAATGTTCGCCAACGTCCGATTCTGAAGCAAGGAGGTCCGTAGGTCTTGCTTCTCTAGCCACTAACGCAGCGAAAATGACGAGACATACATCTAATATCTGGAAAAGAGTCATCACTGAGTGGAAAAAAGTAATACTAGGATGCTCGTACCTTGTCCCCTGCATCGTTCGATTTTCGCAATATAGTCCATGCTGACCCGATGGCGTCAGCTGAGGCAGCCCTCCGAACAAATTCTAGGGAGCACATATTATCTAGAAGCTTGATAACACTGGTGAAGGATGTGTTAGTAGTCAGGACCAGATTCACAGCAATCTCTTACCTTAGTCGCTTGACGGAAACGGTCATTTCTGGATTCATCCCCTCCAGCAAGTATCCCATTTCATCTAAGAACCGCCTGTTCTCGCCTTTGTCTCTCAACTCGCTTATACTTTTCAGGTCCAGAGGACCCATCAAACCCTCGTCGATCCCATCATCCGAAGAAGCATCTACACGCAGCCGTTTCCGCATCTCAGCATACGACTCGTGGAAAAGCTCTTGGGATTCGGGATCTAGCGTGAAGGATTGTGGCTGGGATTGAGGTTGATTCTCTTCATCGTTTGTATTAGATGTGAGACGGATAGGAGCAAGAAATGATCGGGAGGCTGAGTAAGTTCGGACGCTAGGTCGAGTTGGTGGCGGAAGAGCCTCAGCAGAGGCAGACCCAGTGTCGTTCGAGGGTGGTACAGAAGGCCGGATGGACGGGAGAGTGGGATTCTCATCTATGCGGAGTGAAATATTCGGTAAGGAGACGGTCCCGGGAAGACCAAGCGGGCGTGAAGGGCTTGAATTAAGGGAAGGATGTGTGCTCGGACGCCCGGGCGAATTCATGGAAGTGACTGGGGATGGCACGGCTTCAGATAGTGTCACTGCGCGACGCAGCATCCTGTGCTTGGCCGGGGTTCCGGGTGCAGGGCCCGACACCCCACTTCGGGCTGGCGAGTGTGAGATTCCATGAACAGGGATATCGATACTTTCGAATAATCGTGAAAGATCTTTAACTCTGGATGGGGAGCCAGGTAAGGCAACTGCATTTGATGATGATGCAGAGGGAATAGATTTAGATTTAGGCTCCGGTGTTCGCCTATCGTATGTATCCTCTTGTTTAGACCCTTTAATGGCAGGTGGCGGGTTCGATAGGGGTTCTAGGGCGCTAGGAGATGTCGGCATCGCAGTGAACGTTGTATTCGACGGCCCAAATGGTGAAGGGCTTCTGCGGAAAGGGGAAATAGCTTGGATGTAATTTAGTTTATTCGATAGCCATGAATACATGACCAGCTAATTGACTCACAGGAGGGATCGCGCTCGGGAATTGATTTAGGACGCTTAGTCTTGTGCGTCACGCTGTGCAATGGAGATGTTTCAGGTCCAGAACGAGAATCAGCTCGCCTCCTCTTCTTTGGGGAAGGCATGAGTCTAAGAGGGTCATCACTGCTGCTGTCTTCGTGGGCTGGGCGTAGTGGCTTGTATGCGTGCCTCGGAACATCATAGGGGGACGAGGGACTTGTGTTAGACACCTGCTTCTTTGCGCTCGGAGGACTTGGGGTGAGGATCTCGACATAGACCCTCGTCTCAGGAACCACCTTTTTTGGCGTCAGCGGTGACATGCCAGCGGCATGATTATGATTGTCCGCCTCGCTTGATGGCGCGTGTGATTGGCGTCGAGTTGACGCCTCATTGGCGCGCTTCCTTCCAAGACGCCCGTAAGTTACAGGAGGCCGCCCATGCATCAAAAGGTTTTGTTGGGGTACTTGATCGCAAAACGCAAACACAGCGCGGGGACGTGTGCGTTTGTCAATGAATTCATTGGAATCACATGACGTTCCGGAACTGATTCGGCGTCGTGTGATGCGGAACGTGCTCGCATCAGTGATGCCAGATTGAGATTGTGTGTAGCAGGATGCGAGATCTGCGAGGGAATGGAATGTGCTGGAAGCATCGCGGGCAGTGGAATCAGGCCCAGCTCCGACGCTTTTCTATTGATCAGGTGGTTCCGGCGACAGTTCCGGAATGTTGCAAATAATGCCGGTGAACCGGCAATCTAACCGGGGGGATGCTGAATGTGAAGGACGCCAGCGAAGGAGTACCTTCTACCATGGCCCAGAAAAATGTAGAAGGACTACGTAGCACACGAGAGCGCCATAGCACGCCTGACTGGGCCGTAACCGATCGTCGCTTGTCAAGCGTTTGTCGACATCAAGCAAGCCTGTTTGCATTGTAATTTGTAGGCGACTTGCATCCGGAGCCGATGGATCTTCGCCGAAGAACAATCAACGCACAATATTTAGGATCTTTGCGATCGCCGCTACCGTAAACCCTCGTGAACCGCGCGCATACTCCACAAACCCTCTCGCCAGCTTGCCCGCTTTCCTATGCTCAGCCGAGCATCAAAGAACTGGATTAGTATGTTGTGGCCCCGCCCGAAACACGTTTTTTTCTTTGGTGGTTCCCAAGGCGATATATTCCAAACACCACTAGACACCACTTGTCCCAGCCTGTGCCTTGTCGCTTGAAGCTGGCTGCTGCATGTTCTGGCCCGCTCCAGTCTTGTTGCTTACCAACGAACTCGTGGTCGTAACAGATCTTCGGCAACCTCTGACTGAACTCCACAGCATTTTACCACAAGATCAATCTCCCGAACACGCGTTCTCCTCGTTCTTCAATAAGGCTGTTCAAACACGGTATTAACGCGAACGGGAAGGCGCCCGCCTTGAGGCTTTTTACCATTTGGCCTCAATTATAAAATCATAAAGCCCAAAACGGATAAAAACCCTCGAAAGGTATAATAACCCTTTATCACTTGGGGGTACCATTCCCTCTAACGCCCACGTTCACCTTTTCTTCTTTCTCGTCCTCTTCACTCTCTTTTACTCCTTTCCCCCTTCTCTTCTTGAAAAGACATGTTGGACATCGATTGGAGTGATCCTGTGAGTTCAATTCTTACCATTTTCTTGGAATATATATCCTCAACGTCATCTTTTTTCAGCAACCTGCCCGTCCAGGCCACCAACGAGCTGCCTCGCTATGGACAAAAGTAAAGAACAGTATCAGCATCCTTAAACCCGAGCCCGGCACTCTACCGCCTCCACCCCGGCGTTCCAATTCAGATCCTCGTAGCAGTTCTTCCCGTTCCAAGTCCGTCCCTCGCACCTCATACGACTACCGTGCACACGAGCGCCATCAAAGCCAAAGCCCACCAAGGACCTATCAACCCCAGATCAGAGTCCAAACAGGTCACGGCTCTCCACGAATTTATACTCCCACATCTCCTACCAAGGGTTATAGTTACAATATCTCCCGCGGTGCCGCACCTGCCCCCGTGCGCCGGTCGACCCAGCCAACCTCCGCTCCTGTTCGTTCGACCCCCCAACGATCCAAAACAGTTCCTTCCAATGGCGTCATGTATAACGGAAAGCTAATCGTTGGGAACTCCAAGGATGTCGAGCGCTACATATCTTCGCAGAGGCGAATCGAAAATTGGTCCCGTAATGTTCGGTGAAGAGACGCCAGTCTCTTAGCTAAACAGTATTGTTTAATTGGCTGAGGTATTTGGTTATTTTGGTGGGTGTTCGGATCTCATCGCCATCAGGATCAACCACCCGTTCTCATCATCTCTCGTTGCTCGTGTCCTTTTAGGGCATACCCAGCCATTATTTTGACGAGAACATTATGCCACTGAACTTTCGGATCTCGGTATTTCTCATCTCTACTACAGCATTTCCCTCCGACTCACCCCGATCGATGATGTTATGAGAACCAGACTGTCACCAATTCCCCCTTTAGACTAGTATTGATATTCCCGAATGTTAGCGTTACTTTTGCTCTGTTTCTGTTCCCCACGAATTCGAATCCAGAATGTTCTTTTTCGTTTTGAAACACTCATGTGTGAAAATGACGTTGAGGGTTCAGCCTGTGGGCGATCTTGTGCGATCGATCTGACCCACGGTTGAACTTTGGCTCTGGAGCTTGGAGCCTAAATAATGATGGTGGGGCAACTCCATATCTTTATTACCTCCAAGGCGATCGAAAATGGCATCTACACCAGGGCCGACTTCGGAGGTCGGTTTGCGAAGCTGCATCAATTAACGAGTTTGGCAACTTAAAACTGAAAATCTGGCATTGATCATTGATCATTCTATTACGCATGGAACACGAGGCAGCGAAGCCGGTCAAGATCTGGAGCCTCACAGAATCAACGCAAACCTCCGAACTTAGAAACGAGCCCGAGAACTTATACAGATCGCAAGAAACGTGACTAGCAGGAACATCATACGATCAAGGAGCATCAACGGGATTCCACAATAATGCTCCTTTGGATCCTTGATCGAGAGCGTCCAACGCGGACACTTGAGCCTGGCTGAGTTCGAAATCGTATACCTCTGCGTTGGATTTGATGCGTGATGGCGTCGCAGATTTGGGTAACGGGACGAATCTAAGGTAGTTGGAGAAATTTTCAGCACGTTATCGTATCACCCACACAATATTGCTGTTGAGCAGAGGCTACAAATGGATACCCACCCGCGTTGCAGGGACCAGCGAAGGTATACTTGGAAAGGGCTTCGATCGACTTCGCTGGCGATACGGAGTACAGTAGGATCGGAGGCTCTGCCGCGTACGAGAGGACTGTAAGCTTCGACAACTATTCCGCGTTCATTGCAGTACTCGACGATGGGCTTCTGCTGGCAAAAGGGGTGGACCTAAACGCGGAAACATATCAGTTATCGAGGCGATTCACATGTAAGATATCAATGTCATGAGGCACACCTCAATCTGATTCACCGTGGGGGCCGGCAGGCCTTCCTTCTGGATCTCTTCAAGATGGTGTACACCACTGTAGAAATAGGAGAAGTACATCGGTAACCAATCTCAACACTTTCAATGGACTCACTAATTCGAGACACCCACGGAACGTATTTTTCCGGCTTTCTGGGCGTCAAGTAAGGCCTTGTACGTAGCAATGCGCTTTTCACTCCCAGGTAGAGGAGCATGGATTAGATATAGATCGATGTAGGCTTTGGAGTCGGAAACCGAAAGTCAGCAGCCGATGAGGCCACGGAGTACTGGGTTGAGAACATACTGAAGCCGAAATTCTCCAAGGATCGGTCTACGAGCTTCAAAGCGCTTTCATAGCCTTGTTGATTGGTTGGGATCTTCGTAGCTAGATCGTCCGTCAAACAAGTTTCGTCGGTGACCTTACGTCCCCCAGTACGTACTGACGAAAATCTCCTCCCGATTGATACCGGAGAGTCGAATGGCTTCGCCAACCTCACGTTCATTCGCGTAATATACGGCTGAGTCAATATGTCTATGACGCAGCGTGTGATTACAGGATTTATGAGTGATAAACCAGCAGCCTCACCGGTACCCAGCTTTCAACGCCTCCAGAGTCGAGCTGACACATGTGGCCCCTCCATTCTGAAAAACTCCAAACCCAAGCAAAGGAAGCTTGAAGCCTGCACACAACCACCTCGATGAAGCTTCTCGACTCCACTCATTTGGCTCAACTTGCACTACTGACCTGAAGAAAGTTTCACCGTCGACGCCAAAGTCAGTCCAGCCATGTCGTCTTTGTAAGATGGGTTTGCAGTTGATAAGAGACAGGGAAGAAGATCCGGTTTACGGCTTCCTGCGCTCTCTCACGATTGGATCATCCTCATCAGTCATCCATGATGGGCGAATGCTCGAATCGGCAAGTTCTCAAGGAATTGAACTACATGAACAACGCCGAGAGGGAAATTGCTATCACGACGGCGACATCCGCACAGCGCGGAAGGTGAAACCAAGGCAAACAAGATGACTGTTCCCCCTCTGAGGATCGGCGTCTCTTCCCGCTAAAGGAGAGGCTGGTCACCTGCCTAGAATGGGCGGCACTTCAAGTGCTACTTACTGGTAGTGGCTGTGGCTGTGCTTATCGGGTGAGCACAGCAATTCATCCCTGAGGCCGAGTTCTCAATTAATGCGGCTGGTGCGCGTCTACGCAATTGAGCGCAGCTGTTACTTAAGAATGCCCTTGAATGAGCCAGCTGAACGGCTCGATGTTGAACTAAGCCAAATTGGGACTGAATAGACCATGAACTGCCTCCTGGTTGCTGCGCCGCACCAAAGGCTAACTCCATAAATACTTTTGTCACACACGCAATCACCGCACCCAGATACTCCATACCCTCAATCATGTTCCTCCTGAACGAGAAAGACGAGGCTTCGTCCACCGAAGTTGATGCGCACCAAAACGTTGGTCATTGTACCGTTTCGCGCGCTGAGTCTAGCTATTGACCTATCGAACGCTGTAGCTGTCTCCTCCCCCATACGGCCTTGAGTCTACGGCCCCCACCACCACAGTCCCACAAAAGGTATATTTATCAGAGGGATCGCAGAGTCAGACTCTGGCTAGTTCGTCGTCCGACGCAGAAACTATCATTGCTACCCTATCCTCATCCTTCGTGACACCACCCACGAACTTCCTCACCATCCATCAGAAGCACAGTGGAATCAAAGACAGTTGGACTATCGATACCTCTCTCCAGCCTCCTCCCGCCCTCCTTGCTCGTTCTAAGAAAGGGAAAGGCAAGAAAAGAAAGAACTTGGATGTGTTTTCTCGCCATGGCACTGTCGATGTGAATGTGAAACTTGACCCATCATCCGAGGGTGATATCAGCCAGCGAGCAGCGCTCCAAGTTGGATCGCGTCACAGTCTGGTTCAAGTTCACCTGGTACGTTGCATTATTCGTCCTCTTGGGTATGGTCAGCCTCTTATCGATAAAATTTCCTTATTTAAGCTACGGCCCTCGTCGCAGCCATTCCATCTGAATGCGTACTCAAAACATGGAAAAGTTCGAGTGTATATCCCCAGAGATTTTCACGGATTGGTTGAACACAAGGGGAAAATAATCTTCTCCCCTTCCCTCCTTCCTAAAGTCACGTCGTTCTACAATGAAAAGGGAAAGGGAAATAGTTTCATTGGTGATTGGAGAACTACTTCTCCTAATCAACGTGAGTTCGTCCTTTTCTGTTCTTCTGACGTGACCATCGTATTCATCGAGCTGGGGGGGGGGGGTTACAGCTTCTATGTCTGCATTCAATTCTCCATCCGATTGGAACGGGGATCATCTCGAATTATCCTCGAAACATGGTACACTTTACGTCCACTATATTGATGAAGAGAAGAAGGAACAAGCTGGGACGACATCTCTCTTCAAATGGCTTAAATCCTTTGGGTGTGATGACCACTAGGCATTTTGCGTTTCGAGGCTGCATGCCCAACTTTGAAGCATATTGTTCCCGTCCTTACTACAATTTTCGTGTAACAACATCTACCTTCAGGCATTTTGTTCCCGTCCTTACTACAATTTTCGTGTAACAACATCTACCTTCAGGCATTTTGTTCCGTATCTACTTTGCATCCATATGTCTTACAATTGCCACCTAGTCCAATCAACTGTACGGCTATTCAGGGCGCCCGTGCTAGCTATTCAAGCTGCTATTATATGGCAGGGGATAATTGACATGCGTGCCTGATTGTAATTGGGAATGAAAGTCGTTTCGATGTCTCCTATATATAAGGTGTAGCGTTGGCAGTCGGAAACCAAGCTTCATGCAAGATACCCTCCGTTAGGGCGCCAAGCTGAGTCGGTGATAAGAGCCCTGAGGTCTCGGACAAGAGAGGAAAGGATGAGCTTGGTAGTAAGTTGTGAGAAGGCTTCGAGTCACTATATATCCGCTGAGCCAATGGGCCGGAACCGTCAGTAAAAGAGGATCCAATCTGGTTCATAACAACTAGGTTTATCATTGAGACTAGTATTATTTACACCTAGATTTATCATGGGGCGATCCTCGTCCTCGCCCGTGGGACACTGTAGGAGGGACACGCCAGAGGCAAATGAATGCTTCAATAGAAGGAATGACCTTAACGTGATGGCCAAGGCCGCAGGAGATTCTGGAGTAATTGAGCTAAGGCTGGGGATCAGAGTTCAACACTGTCGATCACACGGAGCATCATCATGCGAACTAGACAGGTAGTACTAAACGAGACTATGTAGAAGCGAGGAGGTAAGTGAAAGAGTGACCATCATAAAAGTGAGAGACGAACCTCAGCCTCAAGCGAACAGCGCAAAGAGAAATGAGGGCGTCGGAAGTGTGCTTTTAAGCGTCGTTTGTTCGAGTGCAACAGGAGAAAAGCGTATGAATAAAGCAACGAACGATCGGAAATATGCTGAATAAGATAGGACAATAGTGCAGACTCGAACAAGACTCATAGGACGTCTCGCCGTCACAACGGAAGGTCGGGTATCATAGCACGGTGGCGGCGAGTCGACCGTTGCCGTCTCTCAACACACCAACTCAGTGATGGGTGACTCGACGCAAACCCAACTCCTCTCGAGACTTTTCGAACTTAACCAAGGGAACAACCTTATGAAGATGTCGGACACTTGATCGCCAAGCGGGATGTATTGAAGTTCCAATGTTCTTCACCGAATCCAATGGTGGCGGACATCAATGTGCTTGGTTCGAGCATGGAACACAGGGTTCTTGGCAAGGATTGATTGTCGAGAAGGGTTATCAGGTGTCCTTCAGGGAAGGAATGGGAATCATTGACGGGAACCGACGCTGAAAGGGCGTCTTGGAGAGTAGTTCCGTCATCCGACTGTCAATAACGTGATTATTGACAGCACTGCAGTTATTCTACATAGTATCGTCGCAATGCAATTATTTGGGGGTTCAACCCTCATTCTCTCTGTTGTCGCCGCTGGCGAATTCGCGTATAAGTACCCTCTCCCTCAGGTCCCTTGTACAAGTTTGAGGTGAGAATTTTCTTCATCATTTAAAGAATCATTCTGAATGTCTTTATTGGTGCAGTTTAACGCACCCAATGCAATTAACAGATCTCTTGTACGAGTCTGAGTCTAACGCGCCATAGCCCTTTACATTTTAAAAGGTTATGAGCCCAGTTTTAAAATGTAAAGGGCTATGGCGCGTTAAACTCAGACTCGTACAAGAGATCTGATAATTTCACTGTACCTATGGCGCATGAAACTGCACCAATAAATACATTCAGAGCGATTCTCAAAACGATGAAGGAAATTCTCACCTCAGACTCGTATGGCAAGAGATTCGACGGAGAGGGAGTGAAAAAATTCTCTATATGCCAGCGGCGACTACGCTGTATAACAAAGAGAATGAGGGTCGGACCCCATATTAGAATAACTGCGCTGTCAATATGTAATCATGTTATTGACAGTCGGATAACGGAACTTTAAGTAGCAGAGGCTGGGCTAATAACGGAACCAATTGTTGTATTCTCCAACAGTGCCTCACCGAGATTGGGCGGGGGCATCAAGATTCGGAGGTATGATGATGATGATGAAACTGTGGGGGTCGGCAAACCGTAGGTTTGCTGGTGTTCTCACATGCGCCAATTCCTAAAATCGGACATCAGGTGCGTGATTGATCCATCACGTGACCCCCGCGTCAAATGTAATTAGATTTGGGCATAGGCATGGCTTGTCACCCTAGGCAGGTTACCAGCCTCTATTGGAACAGATCATCACCTTCACACAAGTCTCGAGTGTAATGCACCCAGATTCGGTTCCGGAAGACATTTTCATCGCCTTTGGTGCATTATTAAGCATTGATGATGTGTTCTCAATGAGAAAGGTGAATCCTGCAGGATCACCTTACATTTATTTGCGAAGCCTTGATGAACCTCCAGTGTGGCTCAAAGCATTTCTATTGGATGTCGCTTTCGAAAGCATTCTGGCTTGCCTGGATATATGAGAACATTGTCAAAGCAGGTCTGTGGACGCCACAACACCTCAGCGGATTACGCTCCTCACCAAGGGCTGTTCTGGAGCGCCTCGCTGTTCGGACTTTCCGTCTCTTGCGCAACCGTAGCCTACGGGCTTTGCGTCCCCGATGTCTTAAGAATATTCAATGCAATGCTAGTTCCATATCATGGATCACTCTATACGGAGGCCGTTGGCTCTTCCTCGCATCTACGCAGGGAACGTTCGAGCTCTGGGATATCCACCATGATCAGCGTCGTCAGCCACTTGATCTCCATTCTACTGGTGGATGGGTATGCTCGGGGCTGGTTCATTCTCTTCAAACTGATGTCGATAATCCTATTCTTGTTGTCTCGTACAGGTGACTCGCGTTCGATCCCATCCGTGTGGTGTTACTTACATTTGATATCAGCAATCATAGTTCTCAGCTGCTAGAATGCGCATTAGGTGGTCATTCCACACTCACTCATCTGAGGACATACGACGCTGCTTCTGAGCCAATTGCTGCACGCAATGACCTTATTTTATTTGCTACTTCAGTTGAACCGGAAGCGTTAACGCTTGCCAGAATGGATGGTGCGACGTACACTCTCACTTACAAAGTCGATGATATTGCTGTAAGCATTGCAAGTTTGCCTGATGGCGTGAACTAAGACATTGTTTCAGCCACAACGTATACAGACTGCGGTTTTTACGGAATCTGATATCATTGCCTTCAAATATTCCACCATCTACATATATGGACTTGACGTGTTGGATAAGCCTTCTACCCGCATCCGTCCCAAACAAGTCATAAAGTCCGAATGTACCCTCTTCCAGATCCAACCATGGCTCACAGCAGATTCGGGCCATTCCACTGTTCATCTGATTGCTCGCGATGTGGTCCAAAATTTCATGCTCTGTCAGCTGAACGCAGATGATCACACTGGCTTAATGGCCCTGACTAGTTCCGATGCGGGGGTGCACGGTCGGCTAAGCATGGGATGGCCATGGATTCGTAATCTCGCAATTGCTTCCAGCAACAGGAGTTGTGTCTTCTTCTCTGGTAATGAGTCCCCTCACAATCCGAGAATTGTCACCTGCTTGGCAGAAAAGGACCGACTCGGTGAACCTCAGGTGTTATGGGAGCTCCCTGGACCTGACTGCTGGGACTGTGGCTTATACTTATCGTTTGATGATGTTCTTGGTATAATGACAATTGGAACATCACAGGGAAACGTATGGCTTGTCGATTTTGGGTAGGCGATAGTCATCGTTGGTTCTCTCGCGGTTCTCACTGTGTTTCAGACTGTCAGGGGAGAACTCAGTGTTTGTCAACGGAAAAGCGAATATCCCGCGGGAATTACAGAAGAATCCCATTTTAACTTTACGTTCATATCTGGAGCTTCCTACAGATAACTCCCTATGTCCGCCAGCGATTGGCATCATGTAAGCGTGCACCCTGCTTTATCACCATTGCTAATTCTGAACGGGTGCACAAGTGATAAAGAGCTACAAGTTGAGTTGTCATCTCAACTGGCATTACCAATATTGACGTACTTTCCAGCCCTTTCTGCCGCCAGTCCCTGGAGGTTGGCGCCCACACCCAGACCTCCTCATTCCTCCATCGTCAGACAAGTGGGGAATAATAGAATCCCCATCACCTTCGTCTGTGCCGCAAGAGTCCCTGCTAAGAGGCTGGTCAAGACGTCGGGCTGAGAGACTTTGTTACTGGGTTCCCTGGACGTACCCTTCTTACCACTCTGAAATGTTCGATCTTCTAAAGCTCCCCCATGGCGACTTTGAAGCTTTGTTAATAGGGGAGGATGGGGTGGTTCTGTTTCGCATTGGGTCTATGTTCTACTCGTGGGATCCGAACCCTTCTTCCACGTGCTGGTTTCCTGGCAACTGGACGCTTTCCAGCTTCCTCAGCGAGCTCAGAAGTGAAGGTCTTCCTCCTGCCATTCACTTGGGTGACTGCGACTGTGATGAGGACCGTTTCCAGCAACATTTTGAGTGGCGGTATATTTTAGGGAGGGAAGTCGGCGCTATTGATACCTTTGGATATGGTTATGATGAGGTTTTTCGCGAAGCACATCTGCTCACTGGGGAACAGCACTGACCATCGCGACAGCTTTGGGAGGCATGCATCACTGTTATCATTTGCCTCCAAATTTATCATTAATATTATTTTCCGAATGCATTGTGACAATCGTTTGGTTGCAAGATAATTGTTGTTACGTAGCACTCAGCGGGGGATACTCAAGCGGGGAAAGACTTCCGCACAACATTATAACCGGCCGTGCAGCGGTATAGTTTGGTATCGATATATTAGTTGGAATACTAGGTAGCCCCGGTACTTAGCAGCTGTGGCATTTGCAAAAAGGGACTCCCGGCATTACCGATTAAGTGATGGTACAACCCAGTACGCGCGATCTGATGGGGGGACTTCCCACAGTGGGATCCAGGTCATCGTCACTGGAATAGCATTCGCCATCAAGTTGAGGCCAGGTGGGTTAAGAACAAACGATCGATCACTCCATGCCCCCGTAGGAAGCTAAGGGTTGCAATCGCGCCCAGTGACGGGGTACGTGTATGCAAGTTTATGGAGTTCCCGACGCCTGCTTAAGGCACTGGCGGCATGCACCTTAAATTCATCTGTGGGGCCTGACAATCGCCATACCCTACAAACTGGCATACCTAGAGTCGAGTCATGTTACTGGTACCGTTTTCACACCGTGGCCGTGCGTCATGCATGCAGGCTGAGTGTCCCAACCTCGACATGTTGCTGACTATACAGGAATCAGCAGCGCTGCGCTGGCTTCAAAACCTACAAGCGTCGCTCAGCGTGGACAATCTATCATACCTGAGATATCGTCATGTCGTCACGCCGCGCTTCTGCCACGATCCAATTTCCAAACATAATATATTCCTAAGTGTAGAGCGCTAGAGCTTGCTGCCCCTTCGTACAAACCCAGAGTTCGTTACTCAATGTAGTGAAGAAAATGTTCCTTGCCATCCTGATATCCAGGTGACCCATGCATCCCATCACAACATAACACAGCGCGCTTCGACCGGGCGAATGTTAATCGCTCGTGAAAGGTACTGCATCCCACCAAAAGAAAACAAATGTGCGCCATCAATCGAGGCGCGATAGAAGTCCTTAAGGAGTTTGACCAAGATTTGATGGGCAATAAACTACGGGAGGAGTTGAAGCCGTTCAAGAAGAATCCGCGATCGACTCATAGGCCTCAGAAACCTTCATTTCACGTTTTTGATCTTTAGGTCAGCGACTTCACATCAGCAGCGAACCCCAGAACATACCTTCTGGAACAGCAGTTTGTCTTGGGTGGGGATCATCAGCACGATTACTCAGACATAATGACAGCCTACGTACCTCCTCCAGGCTTATCGGGGTGATCTTTGCAGAGGGAGGAAAGGGGGGAACCAATTCGTAAACTGAGGCACTGAATCAAGGCTAAAAACGTACATTTGAGGGCCGCTTTCTTGTATGCGAGCTTAATCTCACACTTGGTTGCGGTCGGTGCCAATTCCAAGATCTAACACCGACTCTATCTTCAGAATATCTTCGATAACCCCAAAAGCATAATTTTTTTATTTACCTCATGAGGAGTCATCGTCGCAAAGACTGCAAGCAAAGCCTTCACTCGTCTTGCCTCTGCTGTGTTTTTCTCTCGTCCCTCTCTGAGACGTTTCTCTTCCAAGTCGAGTTTCCTTTGTTCGGCGATTCGTCCAGAGGTGATACAATCCATGAGATCGAGTACAGCTGTGAGCCTGGCAACATTACCATCCGTCTTTCCGTGTGCAGATTTGGCTAGCTTCATCGCTTCGTCGAACTGGAGTTGATAGAGATGAACTTTGGAAGCGAGTATAGTGCTGTTGTGCGAAAGATGGGGATTTAGGTGAACCGTAAGGGAGAAAGTAAGAACGGACTGACCACTTGAAATGACCCGTCGACCCTGCGAGTTTGATTACATCAAGGCAATCTTCCAGGATCGTGTCGAGGAATTTATTATCGCGTTCCAATTCATAAAGCTGCATGAGGATCGAAAGATTGAGTGACATTCTGCCAGACAAAAACCCCACAACGTACTCTGTGATAGGAATGTGCCCGATTGCTGAGCAAAGAAATGCGGTCACCCTGCTGGACATCCTTTCCATCCAATGCACGTGTGAACGATCTTATAGCTTGTTTATAATCACCCCTTTGATATGCTTCAGTCCCAATGCTAGAGTCCCGGCTGACCTGACGTGGTGGAGGAGGAGGGGGAGGGGGAGGGTCAGGGGTAGGAGGCGTGTAGGGAGGTGGCGCATATTTGTGATTGTTTTTGGTTTTATTGTTTCTAAATGTGAGGACAAAAGCTTGCTGTAGTCAATGTGTAGAACACGGATGCGTGTGCACGTACGTCTGGCTGGAGGGGTTACAACGATGCGTGGAACGCTCCCTAACCACAACCCCAGATAAGTCGATTACCCAGCGTCGCCGTATCAAAAAATGACTTGCGCACCTGTGATACTTGGAGTCTGAAGCGTCTTCGTCCTCCTGTTCAGGATTGCGGGTATACTTAGGCTTTCGACTTGACTCCTTGTTGCTCGTGTCAGGACGCTTGTCTTTATCCTTGCTGCGTCGTTTCTCGGGCTCTGGTTCTGGCACTGAGGGCTTGGTGTGGGAGTACCTGCAGGTTGAACCGCGATAACAACGACCAGTAGCTACGAATTGCCAGCATGGGTCGGGTGGAACTAACTTTGCCAAAACCGGATTTATCAAAGGTGTTTCACTGAATCAGATGTGTCTAGTAATCAACACACGTTCAAGGTGCAAAAATTTGCACTCCTTTCCTCTTGGGCATTCTCTGCGATTCCGAAACGCGTGGCATGCGCTTGCTTTCCGTAGCTTTGCACGATCCCAGGAATGCGACTCAACAAATGCGCATCTGGTTCCAAAACGGCATACGCCAAGTCGAACCATTTCGAGGCATGGTCGATTGGGGTCCGGAGTTGGTGCAGGCATCTGATCAGTATTGATGTATGGACAGTTGTTCGGGGTGAATGAGAGAAGCGAATGTCCGCGAGGGGCGAGTCGACGCTCACGATGGCGGAAGAAAGGAGGAGTGAAGTATACAGCGCTTGCACTTCAGATCACCGAATGATCCAGAAAGTGCGGCTATCACTAGGCGCCTGCGCAATTGAGAAAGGCGTCGAAGCCGCGGCGTCTCAGTATTCATACACCTATTACTCATCACCTGATCGCAGTAAGAAGGCCATAGAAACCCCCCTGTTATATAGGCCTCTTAGATAGGCAAACCGCGTTCCAGTGCATGCACCGGTGCACCAGTGCACCAGTATTACTATATAGCACCTATATCTGGTCACGCAAAGGCCCGAAGGGCCCTGAGAAGCTCTGGGGTATCGTATCCCAAAAATGTCAAGAATGCCCCGTGATGCGAACATCGTTGCATGTGCCTTCGGCATCGCCTCCGATGTCGTCGCCGCCGTCAACGTCATCGTCAACATCTTTTCACCGATTTCCCTTGTTCCTCACTCCTTTATCCTTGTAACTCGATTTTTCTTTCTCACTATTACGATATTATCATGTATTTTCGTTGCTTATTCAGCATCGCCTCCGATGTCGTCGCCGCCACCAACGTCGTCGTCAACGTCTTTTCACCGATTTCCCTTGTTCCTCACTCCTTTATCTTGTATGTAACTACTATTAAAGATGTTATCATGTATTTGTTTTGCAACAAATGTAAATACGGGAATTGGTAGGACAAGGCACCTGATCAATGTGTCTGCCAGCGTCAATATTAGCGATTGATAAACGACGTCGTAGGGAGTGTTAATGGAGGTTCAAGAAACAATGAAACATGGAGCCATGTTGGTTCTGTGTTCGGTTCAGTGGGTAAGTTGCCTTATTCGGTTGAACATGATGGCGTTTGCCCCATCCGCTCCGACTCAACATCCCACCACAATGAAACCCTCTCTCATGTCCACTGTTCGAGTGCATCTGCCTTACCTCCCTCACCCTAATCTGATGTGGAGGCGGTTCAGGGCATTTTCCGTGGGTTCGGGTCCTGGGGCATCGTTCGCTTTCTTCCCATACAGCACAACCTCGTCAACCAGGCCAAACTGACAACCAGGCTATATTACTTACTGACCATTGTTACGAATCGCACCGGTTTGCGCGGTGGCTTCACCCTCTGGATTGATCGATGCTTGGGTGGCGTCGTTCGATGATGCGGTATTCCCTGTGCAAGTTGGAGCACTGCAACAAGCGTCAGGTCAGGATTAAGTACCCTCAAGCGTTCCGTGCGAGTGACAGACCTGGATGCTGGTGACAAAGCCTCTCTAACCATATCAGGTTGCAGATGGTGAGTAAAAGGTGTGCGTTGATAACAAAATAAGGGAGATGGTTGTCTGGCGGGTTGGGCAATTGCGTGGTGAATGATGGACGGCTTACAAGGTGTGTGGTGTATTGCTACTACCAATTGAAGGAGACTGATTCTTGTCTGGGGCGCTCGTTGACAGCTCAGCTAACTGCTTTCGCCGGTCCTCGTGCTCTTCTTCACCAAGTCTCACCCACTTAATTCGATTTGTTTTCCATCCCTCGACAACCTCTTGCAGGTGCTGAAGATTCGCAGTTTTTGGCTCCCGCAATATCCCACCTGGATAGTGCTCCATATCGATTGCGACCCCATGACTAATCGTAAGTTTCAGGTAGTTCTTTGGTACCCACTCCATTGACAGGCGGGGCTTTCCAGTAATTCCACCTGCTTTCGTCAGCCGTGATTCTGAGTTTTCATCGGGACGTTGCCACTTACGAAGCCCTGTTCTCGCATACTCTGCTACCTCACAGCGCAACGCTCCCACTCGAGCCTGATACTTTGTGACGACGCCTTCAAGACCCCCCCCATGAACAGCTGGGGTACTTTCCTCATGCGAGACTTACCCTTCAGAGTGTTGACGCAATATCCCTCCATAAGACGTATGTTCTCCATCATATCTATCTTGAGCACACCACACCACAAGTCCATTGCTTTGGGTGTTCCCCACAAAACAGGCGCGAAAATGTCCTCATTATTTCCCTTTGTCATCATGATCAACACCTTGACACCACACGCTTCATGAATTCTCTCTGCCTACAGTTTGTCAGTTTTGATAGTAATGTTTATGCCTCTCACTTACAACTTGGATTAGCTGACTTCTAGCGTGGAATGTCATGCGGCCCACGGACAACTCAGGTGAGGGGACTTTCTGTTTCACCATTCGGTTTTCCCTTTTGACGGACACACCCTCTAGAAGGATCCTTGCATAATGTTCCTCTGTTGATGTCATTTGGCTCTCGATGTCTTCGTACGTGATTCTGTTCTCATTGATATCATCAAGGATTTCAAGGTACTCTTGTGAATATGGAATATCCGGGAGTTCTCGTGCTTGTGAGTGGTTCTAGTTAGTTTTTGTTTGTAATTCGTTTCGCTGACAATGCCGCATACCTCTCTTACGATCTGCCTGAGCCTTGGCATGTGCCCAGGCATTAGGTAGCATGGGCTTACGTGTTTTTGTAGGTGCGGCAAGGTTATAGATGATCTGGCTGCGAATCTGACTACGTGAATAGCAAGCTCCGTTCCCAGAAAACTCCAAGGCAATATTGTCTACTTGAGCATTGAAGGTATGTTTCAGTTCGAGAACTCGTTTGTTGAACGCTTCTCGAACTAGTTCCTTTTCTTTTCTCTTTAGTGGCGGTCCAGAGACCATGCTTAGTGGTTGAGACGCCATTTTCAGCGTTGAAGTTTGAGTAGGACCTGCGGAATGCTGCCCAAACAGAGGTAAATAGTTGTCTATTTTTCCATTTTTGGTGACCCATTTAGAAAATTATTTTTTGTTAAATACATATTCACGGTCTTTTGTATTTAATAGGAGTGGCGGACCTGGCATCCACCCATCCATTAGGTGTTGCGTCGCCCTGCTGCAGCTAAACCAACAAGTAGGTGGCTATCCTCTTCACTGCAGTGGAAGTGCGACTTCAACACGCTGTGAAAAAGGTCCTCATTGAAGTCGCATGCGTCTGCAAACCGAATAATATCCTGAATGTCAGTCGGTGTAAGGTATGTGGACAATCCAGCATATGATGACATTGACATTGCCGTTCCACTTGTCGTCGGTAGGCCTGAAAGCTCGTCCAGGTTTCGCTCGGAGGAGCTCAGTTCCTCCAAGAGACTCAAGTTCATTTGAGTCAGTGCGGCTTGGTGCGAAGATGTGGCTGGAACTGTGGGATCAGCATGATGGCCATTGCTGTCAGTTGGAGACGTGTTTGAACTGGGTGATAAGGCTGAGGAAGTGGTACCAGGTGAGTCGGTGGACATTGTGGTGGTGGCTTTTGCTGGGTGGAACGCACTCATTGGCATTGTGGCCCTTTTTTGCAGACCATCAAGCGCCTTGTTATCTGCCGTGTTCGTATGCACAGAAGTTTGATCCACGATGACCCTCAATGGGTCCGGCATCGTCCATTCCAAATGAGTCCCTCCAATTCCTGCCCCCAGCTGAGGCTCCTTACCACCCGCCTCTCTCATGCAGCTTTTCCCCTTGGTCATCTCGATAGCTGGGCCAGACACTGCTTCTGCAGTGGAGTCTGATCCATCCGAGCCCGCGTCCATGATTTCCATGCAACTGTTGGTGGTGGCCAGTGGGAGGCTGGCAGCCGGAATGGCACTCTCAGGGACACGTTTAGGGTGAGCTTTACATTGTTCAAGTATCGCCTCGCGTAATGACTTCCAGTTCTCGTCTTGTTGAATCCCTTCTGTAGCAGTTACAAGGACGGGTGACATGTGTCCCTCATAGTCGACCATCATGACTGATGGCTGCCCAAGGCGATCCCGGATGTCCGACTGTTTCCAGAAGGTAAGCCTGTCCTGCTTGAATGCAATTCCACGAGCTTTACTCACTAATTCACTGATTTCACGAAGATTTTGCTTCATTTGCAATAGAGGAAAAACGAGGCGCATTTCTATCATCCATCCCATCTCAGTAGTAAAGGCACGCTCTGGTATGTCTCTCAATGCCGTTTCCAAGTCAAGTTGACCCTCGTTCAGCTCCCAACCTAGGTGAAACATGAAAACAATGTGCATTCATCAGCAGGTTGCTTCACTTGCCTTGGTGGTGATAGAGGATCAGGAATGATCGTGCAAATCGTTTACTAACGTTCCGTTGGAAATAGGACATGTGGTGGTTGGAAAGCCTGTATCTTTCGCGGTTAACCTGGATGTATGACTCAAACACAGTTTGAGCCAGTTCGCAAGCTGTATTCCATGACAGGTCTGAGGAAGAAAGGTGAGTGATGGGTTGGCCTGAAATTGCTCATTAACTAACTTGGGTGTTTGCCGTTAGACATGGTGTATTCAGGAGGATTGAAGGATTAGGCAGAACCAGTGAGGGAGATGGTTCGGTTCTTCGAACAAGTGAATACAGTATATACAGTTTGTTCACGCTGCATTGCCACCGCAATGCACCTGATATCAATCCTTGTCGCCAGATCCCACCAATCCCCTGAATCCCCCACCCTCCAAGCCATATTGCAGCATTTTTTTTGGCACGTTGACTTCGCTTCCACCTTCAGTCCTACTCCAGGCTTCAAACCAACATTGCAGTGAGTTACTCACCTCAAATCTGCAATTTCAGCGCCAGCCTCTTTCTTGGTGCCTATTGACTTTTTCGTGACACATGGTAGCCTCGGTCTTTTTAATACCTCGCTCACTACCTCTTGGACTATTACTGATCGTATTTCCAAGATGGGGAAAAAATCTAGCAGGCGGAACGTAATCTTTACTAACTTAGGGACCAACTCTTTAAAACTACAAAGGTATGGCATAGTTGCCAGAAGGAGAGTACGAATTGAAATGCAGGCAGCCCAAGAACAAATACTTGAAGGTATGTAATAAACTTGTAAACACTGAGCCGTCTCACATCAAAATTGTTTGTAGATGCTACCGAAGAACTCCGTGATGGCCTCAGGGAGATCCAAGAGAATCCCTTTGTTCCTAGCGAATCGGCTGATTGGGTTGATGACCCGGCCATGGCTCAATTCCCGCTCTTTCAGGATGAAGGCCTTAGTTATGAGCAGCTAGTGAGTGTAGTCAATTTGTTGCTGCCCAGAAAGTAAGTACCACTCTCGTTCAAACTATTCTATGCATAATAATGTCCCCAGGCGCACAAAAGGCTCGACTTGGGGCGACCGGATGACAAAACTGTACACTTCATGGACAGAACAGCTCCCTGTTCTTGCGAACTTCTATCTCCATTTCAAGACAGAGAATCCATGCTCAACGCTGGCTCATTATCCCGCTCCTGGAGATGACATTGGGTATATTCGTATTCGCTGCCTTGACATATTTGGTGAGTTGCGCTAAGAACCTTCCATATACCCATGCTTGATCATCGCTTGTAGATGGGGATGCAATTGAATATATTCCTATGCGTCCAGGTGAAGTCTTTCCCGCATGCACGCTTATACGTGCAGGATATCTTTGCCCAACACCAATGGAGCCTCAACTTGCGATATCCTTACGGTCACTTGAGCTTCTCCACTCTCTTTTCCGTGTGGCCCCAGCTTTTACTTTTCAGCACTTTTCCCGCCTTCTGGCCGACATGCACAAGGTGAGCCGTGGTCATCTGTTTCTATTTGCCAGTGACCTTTCCAAACAACACTCTACCCAGGCTGTGTATAAGCCTTATTCAAGGACCCAGGTCTCCCTCGTATTTGATATCTTTTATCGCATTCTCTCTCATTTGGACAGCCTTGTAAAACAAACCGTGGGCTATGACGAAGCTGATCACCGTCTGAAGACCTCTTGCCCAGCATGTCACAACCAGGGAAGTAATCTCATTCGTAAATATGGTAATTTGATGATAGATTTGTCGGTCACAGGATGGCGATGACCCAGGACGCTCAATCCAGTTTATTGTGACAGGTGATGGGAACACCTCACTCTCACGAATGCGCCACCACTTTGAGGGGGACTTGCGGCACTTCAACAGCGACTACTATCTCCCTCGGGCAGAGGTCAACCGGTTTTCCAATATCCGGAAAGAGACTCGGCGTGACAAAGAGGCAAGAACTAGCTATTTGTAAAACTATTTCCATTTACCAATTTGTGCTCATAGTCAGTGCCCTCATCCATATTTATAGCTGATGGCTGCCTGGGATGGAAGAATGCCCAGCCAATCGCATCGAAGACGAAGGCAGGGGCAATGCAAATCATGGACGAAACTGGTATATTTTCAGTTGTCTGTCGTCACGGGATTGTTCAGTTCCTTGTTGACATGATCGAAAGTGGGGAGCTGTAAGTAATTAACGCGATGTTTGACATGTCTTAATGCTCACCCCAGTGCAATGTATCCAATCGCTGCTGCGGACAAGCTGATACAAACCTTTGGCAAGAATATTTTATTTGCATATGATGTTGGCTGCTCGTTCTCTCAAACACTTTCAAAATCCCCATCGGCAACATTGCATGCGAGGCAAATTTCAAATCCTGCACCGGTTCATTCCATGGTGCTGCCCACAACAGGTCTTGCCAGCTTGAGTTTCTTATCGGCTTGCAGAAAGGCGCTGGGATTGAAGATGGTGAAGGTAATGAACGTGTCTATTCGGAAAGCAATGCACTTGCCTCTGCCACCCGACATGCATCACCATACAGTCGCCACCTTCGAATTCACATACACTTTACCAAGTGGGATGAGACGAAGTATGAGCGCCTAGGTACGTCCGAACATTCCAAGAGCCGACACTCACCACACTTGTGTGACAGGCGACTTCTTATTGAACAACCACACGTCGGCTTGGAGGATAATTAAGGAGAGTGCTGAAGTACTTGAGACCACGCGACGGCTGTGCCCCGCCTTCGATCCTGACAGTGATTGTCCAAGGTGGCTACAGGAGGAGAGACAGTACATAGCATCCCTCCGATCGGAACCCGAAAGTGAGAGGAGAAAGATAGAGTACTTGGAGGCTATTGAATGCCTCGAGCGTGCAGAGTAAGTAGCTTCAAACTTAATAGGAAGGCTCAAAGCCCACCACTTTCCACAGAGGAACAGTTTCCCACTGGATCAGCCGGCTTGCTGCACCGACAACCTCTTCTGCACAGCATACTACCTGGCACCTCCAAGAGGCAAACAAGGCCGTCGAGAATGCCCGCACCACTGTGATGGCCTTGGAGGCAGCACTGGCAGACACTTGGTCCCTTTCTCTTCCTTGGACGACTGACTCTCCCCAGCGTCTTGAAGCAATCACCTTGCGTCAACAACGGGACTACCACCAACTACTGGATGAACTCGAACACCGTGCCATCTCACGTCAATTTGAAGTTGAGAAAGTGGGGTTGCCTAGGACAGGTATTACATTCTACTCCCCTTACTGCCCTGCTCACTGTGCTGCCATTTCCACAGATTACAAGGCCCGTCAACGGATTTTGTCCTTAGTGTCGAAGTGTAAGGCCGGTTGGGGTGCCGGCCTTGGTGACTCCTCAATCCTCAGGCTGTTGATAACGTAGACTGTATGGAGCTAGTATTCGACAGGGGGGGAGGAGAAGAGCAAAGCCCCTTTCCCCGACCCCGGACACTATATATATATACAGTTGTTTTACATTATTTATTACGAAGAGTATTAAAGAATAAAAGAATAACTGAGATGCGCGCAAAGCGCGCATCATCCCATCCCTGTCCATCCCTTACACGAAGCGTGGAAAAACGTTACAATCGACAATCAATAAGTACAACGCTTTGGCAGCATCTATGAGCCCACCAAGGACGAAACTCACCTGGAAGGAAGTTACGGACCTCAACTTCATATCCGATATTGTGACATTACGTGGTCGTGAGGACATACGTGAAAAGCCATGGGCAAAACCGCTATTTCGTAATGCAACACGAGCCTGGTGCAAGTTACAACGTGCCCGTGAGGAGATTGAAACCGTAGTCATTGAAGCAAATCGGTTGGGGAGTTTTGTGAGGGATGAAGAGGCGCACTTGCAGAAGATTATTGAGGACACTCGACCCACCAACCCCGCATTGGCAGAATATATATCTCTCATGTTTCAATATCGCCTCAACACCAACTCCCACCTATGCGCAAAACTGCTTCAGCTTGAGGCATGCTCACATTATCACATTCATGTGGTAGGCAGTGAACCACCCTCTGGCGCTTCAGCACATACAACCAACAGTAAGTATCTATCTAGGAGCTCATAATGGTTCTAATTTTATAACTAGCATCGTCTCTCCTGTCCCCTATCACCAATCCGCCACCAACATCACCCACCAACGCCGCAAATAGAGACGGTTCGAATTATGCCAATGAGCTATTGAAGGCCATTGACAGTGAGGCAGCAGACAAGGTTTCCGAGACTGAGAATATAGATGTGGATGAGGAAACTGAAGACTATCACAATCTTATTGATCGGCTTGCAAATACGTTAAACATTTCTGACCTAGATTCGACGTAATTTCGTCTCACTTCACTGATCATTTTATATGCACCAAGACTCGGTGGCGGATACTAGTCATAAGCAACAAAAATACATGATCATAATAGTAGTTACATACAAGATAAAGGAGTGAGGAACAAGGGAAATTGGTGAAAAGACATTGACGATGACGTTGGTGGCGGCGACGACATCGGAGGCGATGCTGAATAAGCAACAAAAATACATGATAATATCGTAATAGTGAGAAAGAAAAATCGAGTTACAAGGATAAAGGAGTGAGGAACAAGGGAAATCGGTGAAAAGATGTTGACGATGACATTGACGGTGGCGACGACATCGGAGGCGATGCCGAAGGCACATGCAACGATGTTCGCATCACGGGGCATTCTTGACATTTTTGGGATACGATACCCCAGAGCTTCTCAGGGCCCTTCGGGCCTTTGCGTGACCAGATATAGGTGCTATATAGTAATACTGGTGCACTGGTGCACCGGTGCATGCACTGGAACGCGGTTTGCCTATCTAAGAGGCCTATATAACAGGGGGGTTTCTATGGCCTTCTTACTGCGATCAGGTGATGAGTAATAGGTGTATTCATATTTAGAAGGTCGGATGCATAAAAATATTTGTATTGCATACATAAGTTCATGCCTCAAGTGAACGAACGGCGCAAGGCAGCAGTCGCAATGGTGATGGCTACATCATAACTTATTTTAAACTTATCTTTCATGACGGACAAAGAAGAAAGTTTCATCCTTCAGCCTTTTTTCTTGCTTTGTTCAGCCTGCCACTCGTTGGGCCACTCGTTTTATTCATGGTACATTTAATTCTCTTCAAATCGATCATCTTGCTCGCGAAGCTGTCCGGAGTATGTACAGTTACACCGCTCCACTGAGCCCATTGAAAGGACAGAGTTAGAGGTCCTATTGGAAGAAATCCCACCTCCCTCCGGGAGCGGCGACCAGCGCCAACACAACATTACCTGCTCTACCCATTCGTCTTCAGCCTTGCAAAAAATCCATTTTACTTGGGCCAATCCAGGAGGAATCAAATTCTAAGTTTTTTTTATAAGTCGAACACCCGCTTCTTGGAAATAAATCCCGCTCCTAGCCTCAGCCCCATGGTGCAGGCAAGAGACACGAAAGGTTGCGTTTAGCTTGTGCGTGTTCAAGCGCCACGACTTGGGATAGCAGATGGGCGTTGGCGACGCAGTAGAATTGTTTGGGAAGTCCGGGATTTTTACCCAAGATAGATGCGGAAGTTTGAATGTGCCAAAGTACTTCACGCAATATGCATGGAGCGGACCCTGTAGTCCAGCGTCTTTAAGAGGCCTGCAGCCGCAGCTTTCCCCACAGTTATCAGATGTAAATTCCGTATAATGTCCTTTGCTTCGAGAGGCATCAACCGAGGTTCGCGAAGCTCTCGCGCGAGTCGATACATCCCTTCCAAGTTCGCGAATTCCATCCCTCATCTTTAGACTAAAAATTTGCTCTCTCGGCACCGAATAGCTGGCGCGTCGAAATCACACCGGAGAAATGTGAACAAGCGAAAAAAACGCATGATTCTGTTGTCCAAATGTTTTTGAGATGGGATCCACGCTTCAGTCCCCACGGGAGTGCGCCCTTTGCGTCATTCTGGGATCTGGATCATGACGCGATCGGAGGAACAACTTGAAATGTTTACGGCAGCACACGCCGTGTTACATAAGCTGCCAATCAACATGTTGCGAATCTGTTTTTCACACTCGCGATGACTACGGGTACTGGGTCTCCCTCCATCATTCTTCAGCGCTTAGGACCTCGCTTCACATACATATACTACTTTGCCCTAGCAACAAATTTGCGTACTCATCAAGTACTCATGATTGGTTGCAACGTTTTGAATGCACGCACTTCTGATAATATTCCCATTAGGACATATTCCCCAGTGTATGGGTTTGGCGTACATGGTATGTTCGGTCGGTAGCAGCGCATGCCTCATCCCGCTGGTAGCGCTTGCGCCCGCGAGCCATCGTCTTCATTAATGGATTCGAGGGATTATTTTGTCCACGTGCCCTAACTCGTGGCAACCCTTCCGTGGTGATTCCGACGCGCCCGAACAACGCTTCTCATCGAACGCAATGGTTTGCACCAAATGTGAAAAGGCGAGGGTCTTCCTTTACTTGTAAGTAGTAGGCCGGGGGATGGCTAATTCGGAAGGGAATGTTTGTTAGAAACTGTCGAAGCTTGCGGCACCGGATCCTTTTCAACCCTCGAGTTCGACTCGGACGGTAGGGGAGAATAAACTGGCAGTTAAGGGCCGGCCGGGCACGAGTACGAAACGTTTCACTCCGTATGGAAGTAAGTGTAAGGACTGCAAGTCGAACACGACGCAAAATCAGGCAAAATATTGTGAGCTCATCTCATTACGTGAGCGCTCCCTTAATCTACGGGCTGACTCACGGGGCTTGAAGGCCATGGTTGCGCGTTCAAGCGTGGTGCGTGCGCGATATGTGGAAAGAAGGTATGTAGTTCATATCGATCAGAGATGAAAGGAGTCACTAGTCGTCAACCTCCAGATTCTGGATACATCTGGTTATGCAATGTCGAACAAGTGATATACTCGACTGTTATTGGGGGTTTATTTGCGCATTCTTCTAGATCATTCTCATCCATGGAGCTACCCTCTGCCTGCTGACAAGGTGCGCAAAAGCGCGGAGGTGGGTGTGAAAGAGGCCATTCCTATTGGACATCATTTAGATTCCTGTATATACTACACTTGTCATTTATTCCTGTACGATACCCAAACTACCTTGTAGTGCTCAGTGGACGCTTATTGGGTGCCGTAGGGTGTGTGTGGGGCTGCAGAGACTGAATAAGCAGTCCTGACTGTGAGGACTGAATTCGCATCCGTGACCTTGCTTCGTCTTCTTCCCTGCGAATATCCACTTCGCTCAGCAGCGTGGTTCCCTTGTGGCAACGACGATTAGGCCATCGCCGTTGAAACAGTCCCGTCGGCGTCTGGCACATCCTTCTTAGATCGGTCTATCATCTTTTTGTGACTTGCAGACCGCCGGTCGCCAGCGGACAACAAGTGTGCTGCCACCCTAGACCGCACTGGGAGGTCCACGCCGCACCGACGACCATCTCCCAGTCGTTCTAAAAAGCTTTCCTGGCCTCGTATATTGTCCCCTTGACCATACTCCTAGATATCTTTTACATTATCAACGCCATCGAGGTCCCTTTGGCTCGACTCTGACCATCCATTGTTTCGTCCTCCACCATGGCTCAGCCTCAATCCTCACCCTCCACCTCTGCCACCACAACGACAACCGTCAGTTCAAGCTCGCGCACTGCCGTGTCCCAAACGCCTGCTTTGGAGTCGCCACAGTTCCCTCCCACCTGGCTCAACTGGGAAGGTGATAGAGAGTACGTTTCTGCGCTCGTATCCGTTCCGGCTCATTGGAAGCTTACTTCACGGCCCTTTTTCGGTTCACTACCATTACCTCTGGTACTGGATGCCGTAGGTTGCACATCTACATGATTGATTATTGTCGTAAGCGCGGCTTCAGGGAGTCAGTGCAAGCGTTGTACAATGACACGAAAATCCCTCCTGAGGAGGCTACTCCTCCTATTAATGCACCTCAGGGATTATTGTTCGAGTTAGTTTGGGATTTGTGCATTCACCTGAATCCTGGCTGATATGTGCTTTCTACAGATGGTGGGTAGTGTTCTGGGACATCTCCCGAGCTCGGAGACAGTCGACCTCGGCCATACCCGTTGGGTCCGACGCTGCGCATGCCTACTTGTTCCACCAAGCCAAAAAAGGGGAGCAACAACAACAGCAGCAGGAGGTGCAGATGCGTATTAACGCCCAGCAACAAGCACCTCCGCAGTGGGCACCTCAAGTACCCCAGCTGGGTGCCGGTAGACCTGGTTTCCCGGGTGCCACTCAGATGCAAGGAATGAATCTCCCCGTATCTATGCACTTCGCCCCTCGCGGCGTTGTGAATGGAAATACACAGATGCCGCAACCCGGCAGATCATACGTCGCACAACCAGTACAGGTAAACTCTTCTCATCTCATCGCAGGGGTGGGGTCGTCGGCAGCTCAAAATTCTGGTGCCCCTCAGCCTGGGCAACCGTCACAAATCACTCAAATGAGCATTGCGAATGCCCACAAATTCGCCCAAAACGGTCTCACGATTCACCCTCCTGCTTCCCAATCTCAGCAACAGTCCCAGCAATCAGGAGGCCAGCCTCAACCAACTCACAGCTATCAGCAATCAGCTGTTAATCGGGGGATCTTCCCTGGATCTTCACAGCAGATCCCTGCAGCGAACCAATCTCCACCGCAAAGTAACCCTAATTCCAACTCCTCTCAACACCCTCAGCAAGCACCTCAGCCCAACCCTCGGTCCTACTCCGAGTCGAACGTGAACGCGGCGTCGACACCTGCTTCCCTCCAGACAAGTCTCGTCCGTCAACCTGGTCAACTACCGCAGCCCCAGCAGCCACTCCAGCAACACCCTCAACAATATGGAGCGACTCAAGCACAAGCACCAACACCTCGACCACCTCAGCAGGTCTCGACGGCCCAGACGAACCCGGCTTATCCCCATTCCGCATCAACCACGCCCGCACCTAATCAACCAAACATCGCTATGGCGCAGGGCCAACCCAGTCCGAGCCGCGATGCCATCTTGTCACGCCCTCACTCCCGTCCTCACTCACAGCCGCAAAGCGCGCAACCTGCGGCATATCCTACGTTCGGGCAGTATGGTTCGGGCCCGGGTGGCGTGTTTGCGCCACCTGGGTTAGGGCTACAAGGTCCAGGGACGTCTAGGGAGACGGCGATGGGCATACTAGGTCTAGCTATTAAAAAAGATCTCAGTGAAGGTGGATCCGAGATCGTAAGTGGATTGCAAATCGTTTCAACAATAGCATTGACTTATCGGCCCGACTCGCCGATATTTTCAACTAATAGGATGTTCAAAGTCAGCCTGGGACGCAGAAGGTCACACCTCCCACTCGCCCTTTGGGGCGACCGGGGACCAGTGCCCCTTCTTCGTTTGTGGCTCCGACCACTGGGGGGTCAACGAATTCCTCGGGGCCTCATCCGCCCCAGCCTCCCAGTGCTAGTATCCCGCCAGGGCATGTGCAGGCGGGTGTGAAAAGACCTGGGTCTCCGTCAGGCCAATATGGTCAAGATAGTAATCAGGACGCTCGTACACCTGACCTGAAACGTCAACGACGGAACTCCCTCTCCTCGGATCGCGTAGGCAACTCCACTGGAACCACTCAGATCAATCCAGGCCAAGGTCCTAGCAATCCCCAGGCACCAGGGTATTCTACTTTCACTGGAGCCTACAGCACTCAACCTCGGGCACCCATTGCATACACTCAGCCTCGACACAACATGCCGATGAATAATGGAGGACCGGGTCAAGGCCAATTCCTCCAACATCCGATGGCGCAACGAATCCCGTCTGCTCCGAATCCAGGAGCTGGCGCCAATACTTCTTTCATGAGGCCTACGGGACCCTCACAAAACCAATCTCCGAATCAACAAAACCCTTCACAACCCCAGCAGGGTCACCCGCAAGGACCGCTGCAAGCCCCCCAGCAGCAACAATCGGCCATACAATCATCCACTCCAGGGAATCCAATGCTAGCCAATGACTCGAATCGTCAGGCACCTCAAGCGCTTAGCACTGATGCCCAGTCGCAAGTTGCAACACTGAATCGCCCACCAAATGGGAAGCCGAGGATGGGCGGGGTGATGGGCTCAATCGGTGCGTTAAGCGCTGGTAGAGGTTTCTCTTCGCCATCGATCCCGCCTTCTGCTATTGGGCAGAAGACCATGATGCCACCTCCTCAAACTTCGGGGACTTCGGCGCCGGCACCACCAGGTGCGTCGAAAGAGAAAGGGAAGGATAAAGATGAACCAATGGTACGTTACCATCGCTCTCGTTTACTTGACCGTTTTGACTCACTTTGAATGGTTTTTTTTTTCAGCCCTCGATGCCTCCGGAAGCACAAAATGGGACAAACACAGCTATTGCACTTTCACCCATGATTAAGAACCCGGACGGACAAAAGCCTTCAACGCCCGCACCTTCATCGACCACTTTCTCGCATCCTTCCATCTCGCCCGTGACAGCAGCCACGTCAAATACACCCGGTGCGACGATCAACACTGCCATCGACACCAACCAGCCGGGTGGTTCGATCACAGAACGATTGTCTTATTCTGGCCCCATTTCTCAACCATCTGGATCGGTACCCTTGTCGTATACGGATGACCTTACGATGTCGACTTACTTCACTGACTATTCGGACCTCGCCGGTATGAGCGAATTCTTCGATGTGCCGTTCCAGGATTATCTTGATATGAGTGCAGGAAGTGGAGGTGACATGGATGATGTACCTGTTACATCCTAATGTTTTTGGTCTGGACACTGGCACCGTCTCTTATGTCTCTTTGTATTATCCCAGCGCCAGCGCCTCCCGACATCCCCCCGGTTTTTCCTTCCCAGATATCCCCTAGTCCATCTGTTATACATCAATTCGTCGCATGTTTGAGGAAAGGAGTAACTGTTCGTGTGGCTTTTTGTGTTTTTAAACTCCAATCCGTTTTCTTGTATCTCTATCACCTTTACACACATTGTGAGTCTTTTTTCGCGTTTGCTGTTTTCGCGTTTTTTTACTCTTGCCCTCTATTTTCACCTTATTATCATACAATAGTTGCTTTTGTCTCTTTGATTTGTTGATTTGCTGAATTTTCTTGGTCGCATCGTACCGCGCGTGATTTGGCTCCGCATATCGTTAAGTCTTTGATGCTTGTTTTGTGGGAAGGATTTAATGAGGCGACGTGTGACAATTCGCAGTTGCAGGGCACCGTAAGAACATGAACAGTCGATAATTTTTTTTTCCCTTCCGAAATGCTCGCCCAACTTCGGACCGTTTTGACCCCTTCCCTTCCACTTCTTTCTCTCAGCCTCGTCATCTCTAGTCAATAGCCCACTCAACCAGCGCCACTCCCAACGCCAAGTGCAGTCTCCCCGCCGCCCTCAGACTGACTCGTTTCTTCGGGGCTTTGCATCTTCTTCGCCCATAGGGTTGCTTGAGAAAAGTCGTGCTTCTTGGGGAAGGGAGGATTCGGACGTCCATTTTTCAATTTTTGGGGCCCATCCTCGGAGCCCACTTCCGTGTCCTCTCCTTTCTACGGGGTCAATCTCGGATATCGATTTCTAGTTTGGAAATTTCGGCAACCGCGTCAATGAGGATTTGAAAAAAACACGTTACCTTTCGGAAGTTTGTTCTCTGGTTGCATGCTTCTCTCGAATAGAAGATATATCTATGTCCGATCAGTTACCTTGGTCTCTTTTTGCGTTTTTTCTTGGGAGATTTCTCATGAAATGAGGACGCTGTGATGTCTTGCGAGCCTGAACCTTGATCTTTCTTCCGGCGTGGAACTTCAGGTATTGTTGGTTGGGCGGTTGCCGTTCCAAGCTCTCGGTCATCAATCACCATGTATATGGTAAACGGAAATATTAGGAGTGGGAAGGTGCGTAGATCCGAGAGATTAAGGACTCACGATCCGGGGGAGCTGACGGATATTAGCGTGGATTCTTCCTCTTCGGCTGCGACCCCGAATGAGAGCAGCGTCACTTCCCTACATTACGAGGCATAGTTGGAAGAATGATGGATTTCGTTCGAAGCACAGAATGGATCAATTGGCCTTTTTGCCTTGCAGCCTCTTCCTGCTCCTCGCTGGTCAGCTGCTACGCTTGCTTTTGGGCTGTCATCATGCAGGGAACCATGCCATCAAATGGATTATCAGGGATTTATCCTAGGTAGATATATTGGTCGCTCGTGCTCTTGTCAAACTCTTCACACGCTAGATTGGCAGGTTGGAGGCACATGGAAGCCCAGCATATTTGAGAACGTCTTATTGAGAAAATTTTTCAGCTATTGTGCTGCTTTGAAGAAACCGCCCTCCGCATACTGGAAATTGTGTTTCCGATAACTCTTCCGAATAATGCCTGGAGTTTACTGGAAACTCCACGATCCGGGATAAAGGGCAAACGAAGTCAGAGTGGCTTTTCTTATCCTCGCCTCTAAGGAAATGTGGAATTGGCTATTGCTCCGGCTGTTATTGGCCATACCAGAAGTCCTTTTGTGGCAAACAACAATTGGAAGATCATCGCCGTTAAGCAGTCCTGTCGGCATCTGGCATATCTTTCATATTATTTACAGAACGACGGTCGCTCTAGGCTGTACTGGGAGTTCCGCACCGTGCCAACGATCATCTCCTAGTTGTTCTAAATAGCGTCGCCTTGATCGCACTTCGAGATATCTTTTATATCACCGACAACCTTTCCTTCGACTCCGACCATATATTGCTCCTTCATATAACATGGTTCAGCTTCAATCCTCGCCATTCTGCTTCTGCCACCACAACGACTACCGGGTCGAGCTCGCACACTGCCATGTCCGAGATGCTGCCTTTGGAGTTACCACAGCTCCTTCCCACTCATCTCAACTGGGGACGGTGATAGAGAATACGTTCTCGTGCCCGTACCAGCTTCGGCTCATCAGGAATTCCATTGTCTTTTTTCGGTTCACGACAATCCTATAGATTGCATTCGTATCTACACAATTGACGAGGAGGCTGCTCCCTCTATTGTTCGAGACGTGCGCATTCACCTAATCTGCGCTTTTTTCAGATGGTAGGTAATGTTCTGGGACATCTCTCGAGCTCGGAGACAATTGTTGAGTCAACATCCTCCAGGTTGCAATCAGGATGCGTCTCCACCCGGTTTCAACCGTCAACGCCAGAACCATCCCCTCTCCGGACCGCGTGAGCAGCCCTACTGGGGTAGGCAGGATCCCAGCCTACTACTGGGGCTGCTTATCTGGCGTCGACCCAACATGTCGATGAGCACGGGAGGATTGGATCAAGGCCAATTATTCCCTCCCTCGACGAATCCCGCAGAACAAAACTTGTCTGCCCCGACTCCAGGAGTGACCGCCAACGCATCGCTCACACAAAATCAACCAGCAAAATACCTCCCAGCCCAACAAAGCCATCCACCGGTGCTGCCCCAATCGTACCACCATCCACTCTACAGGACCCAATGCTATCTAATGACCCGAACTGCCAAGCTCTTCAAGGGTTGGCGAGACGATTGGTAGAGGTCAACTCTTGCTATTGGGTAGAAGATAATGACGCTGTCTCGAGGGACTTCGGAGGCTTCATCGGGTGCGTCGAAGGACAAAAGGAAGGAGAAAGACGGACTAGTGGTGCGTCATCGTCGCTTTCGTTTAGCCAACCATTCCTACTCACCCTGGGTGATTTTTAAGCCTTCCATCCCTCTGGAAGCACAAAGTAAAGCGAGCACGGCCATCGTGCCTTCAAGGATGTGGACGGACAAAAGCCTTCAATACCGGCACCCCCCATTGACCACTTTCTCGCATCCTTCCATCTCTCGATCTCGCCTCGCTGATTATACGGACCTTACCGGTATTGGGTGAATACTTCGGTGTGGGGTCCCAGGATTATCTACATGATATGGGTACAGGGAATGGAGGTGACATGGATGATGTACCCGTCACATCCTAATGTTTAATCTGGACACTGGCACCCTCTGTTATGTCTCTGTGTTATCCCAACGCCAGCATCTCCCCGCCCTCCTCGGCTTAGATTCCTAATATGCTTCCGTCCATCAATTCGTCGCGTGTTCCAAGAGCACTTGTCCGTGCGGCTTTTTTCCAAATCCGAATAGGTTCATTGGGTATCCATCACGTTTCCGCGTTGTAAATTTCTTTCGCATTTTCCATTCTTGCATTTCACTTTTCCCTCCATTCCACCTCATCGTGCGGCTTTATCTCTTTGATTTTTTGACTCGTCGATTGCCAATTCCTTGGTCTCACCATGTCATGGTGATTTGGCTTCGTCTTTGTGATGTTTGTTTGTGGAATGGAGTGAATGAGATGACGAATGACAAATTGTGTTACAGGCACCGTAAAACGTGAGACGATAAGTATATAAGTTATCTCCCTTTCCGAAATGCTCGCCCAACTTCGGACCGTCGTGACCTCTTTCGTTCCTGTTCCTCCTCGCGTATTTCTCGCGCCTTGGCTCGAGGATCGATGACCTCATAATCATGTTCAGCACGACGCGTCTCGGCCCCGTCATCCTTAGGGAACTCCAGTCGATGGCTCATCCAACCAGCGTCATTATCAACTTCAAGTGCAACCTCCTCGCCATCCTCACCCGTTTCTTCGGGCTTTGTATCGTCTTCACCCACGCGGTTGCTCGAAGAAGGTCCCTCGACACGCGCATCCTTCAGCCTGGCTTTGAACCGGTCAAGAGCGGCAAGGAGGGCGCTTTCATCCTTTGCTTTTCCTTTTCCTCCAGCAGCCCGTTTTCCCCTTGAGTATTTTGCCAGTTCTTGTTGAAGAAGAGAAGGCCCCGATTTGGTCCTTTTTGAATTGGGTTCATCATCCTCGGAGTCACTCCCATGTTCTCTCCTTCTACGGGATAAATTTCGGATATCGACTTCTATTTTGGCAATTTCAGCTTTTCGGGCTGCACTGTAAGGAGGTTTTAAAAAAAAGGGTAAGCATGTTAACGAAAATTTAAATGACGCATCACCTTTCGGAGGTTTGTTCTGTGGCGCGCTTCTCTCGAATAGAAGATATATCGATATCTGATCTGGCTCCTTTGCGCTTGTTGGATGACTTCTCATCAGATGACGATGTTTCGATAACTTGAGGGCCTAGACCTTGATCCCTCTTCCGGTGTGGAACTTCAGGTACCGTTGGTTGAGCAGTTGTTGCTCTAAGCGCTGGGTCGTCAATTACTGTACGGTAAACAAAAATATAAGAGTGGGAACGCGTGTGGATCCGAGATACTAATGACGCACGATCCGGGCGGCTAATGGACTTCACCTTTATTGGCGTGGATTCCTCATCTTCAGCTGCGTCTCCGAATGAAAGCAGCTTTACGTTTCTATATTACAAGACACAATGATGATCAAATGAACTCATTTGAAGTGCAGAATAGATCAGCTCGCCTTTTTGCGCTCTTTCGCCTCGCAGCCTCCTCCCGCTCCTTTTGCGCCTCCTCTCTGGCTAGCCGCTGCACTCGCTTCTCCGCTGCCGTTATGCGGGGCACGATGTCATCAAATGGATTATCAACGATCCGAATGGATTTTATCTTGGGTGGATATATTGGTCGTTCGTTCTTGTCAAGCTCTTTGCTTGCCCAAATGCCGGGTTAGAAGGTTGTGAGATCCATCGTGAATGTGAACACTCACCACACTCCCCAATTTTGAGAACGTCTTGACGAGATAATTTTCAGCAGTGCTGGTTCGAAGGAAACACCTTCCACATACTGAATACCGTGTTTCCGACAACTCTTCCGAATAATGTGTGTTTCCCCTGGAGTTCATCCGCACGATCTAAGCCAAAGTCAGAATATTAGCACGGTCTTCTTTGTCTTTGGACATCCCCACCTAAGGTAATGAAGAACTGGCTATCATTTGAATTCTTCTGGCCGTTGTTGGCCATACCGAGTAGTCCACGGTGGCCAAATCGCAATCTAGGATGTATTTCGTCCTCGAACCAATGGCCATAGAATGATTCTCCTCCGCCTCCCGTACCTGTCCTGTCTCCAGTCTGGACAAGGAAGCCAGGGACTATTCTGTGGAAGATAACGCCATCATAGTAACCTTGAAGATGTAGCGGCAGGCGACATGAGACATGAATAAACATCATGCAGCAAATCGTCATTCATGCCTTCCATAGCTAATGCAACAAAGTTCCTGCACGCCTTAGGAGTCTCCTGATACATTGCCCAAAGTTTCAGTGCGGCGCGCACCAGAACTTGATGAACAGACCTTTGACCATAATTCGATCTGTCCAAAGAAAAGCTGTATCAACTGACCACTTCTGTATCTGTAACTCCCCTCTCTACTCGCCTCTATCTCTCCAACAGATGTCTCAAGAATGACGCGGCCTTTGGTAGGAAGAGCCATCGGTGATTGAACAGTTGGCTAGTACAAAAGGTGTCGAAGTCCTTTTACTTGAGGGCTTTCAAATCGAAAGGGCGGAAGGTGGACAGAAACTATACGATACTCAATGCACCTTCTGAATCCGTCGAGAACAAGTTAAAATCCCGGCGCCTAATAGTTCAATGAATTCGCACGTGCGATACCGGATCCACTGAATTGAGTGCTTGAACAGCATTCATCTAGCAAAGCAGCGATCTTCGTTAACATTGGGTTGTCCTGTAATAAAACACAACTTTAACCAGAAGCTCGGTACATACACAACGGGGGATGAATGACGACGACGACCAAGAAGGGGTCTGGTATGGACGAATATTACACCCACACCAATTGTCTCACCGATTTGATCGGCGACCCATCCAGAAAACATTACAACGACAGGAGCCACTATTGCTGAAACCCGCCATAGAATCATCTCTGTGTGTGTCGAAAAGGGAAACGACCATACAAAGCAATGGATTCCCCCGGAGGCCATCCCAGCGGCTGCAAACATGAGTAGGACTTCCGTCTCCTTGGGCTCAGACAGCTGCACGAGAGACATCGGGTCTGCGTCAAGCTCCGTTTTAGGTGTTGGTTGATCGACATTTGTCTCGGAAGTCGGAGGAACGGAACGGGACTCTTTCGTTACTTGCATTGCGCATTGAACGTCAACGGGTTTGTTCCACCACAGCACATAAACAAAGACACTTAATGCTGCATACGCGAGCGTCAGTTGAAGGAATGTCCTTGTTGTTATGATGAGCCTGATTCGGATATAGCGCCCAGCAGTTACGCTTGAGTGGCGTTAGCACAGCACTATGACTTGAGTCCTGCTAGTGACACTAGGCTGCGAACACGTTGTTGCTATTCGACTGATAATTGATGTCTGGAACCTCTGCCACAATGCGACATGTGCAGGAAGGACCCAGGCGTTGAGAGCTCGGCAGATCTGACAGATCTCAGTTGCCAATGCTTTCGGCACGCACAGGATACGGGAGGGACCTTCCGATCTATATAACAGAAACTCACCAAGGAGTTATCGCACCAGCCTCTATGCGAGGCGATGGTATTCCTGGATCTCCTTCGAACAGCCCACGCTACTGTCATGCAGCAATCTGGCCCCCCGTCACTTTCTCGAGAAGCAGCGCGGCCCATAATGACACCGACATAAGGCCTTCCACAAACGATAGCTCCACGAACCGGGTCCTTCCGCCCGTCAAATTCGTTGATATCGAAAGAGTTCCAGCACACACTCCCCCGTTCGTGTACGGGTGCAAAGCATGAAACATAATCGAAGAAAGTTCACGTTCGAGTAACAGGCTCCGAAGCGGAGGTCTGGTCCCAATTTCAGCGGACATTGCCAGAATTGGATCAACGGTGAACGAGTTGTTTCCAGTTTTGGTATACGTGCCCAAAGGGATGGGGATATTTTGCATGCGTCTGACTGGGGCAGCTCCCTGCTCCAGCCTGCTGGCCATGTCTATGCACTTCGCAAGCAAGAGCGGACGGTACGGCTGGAGGAGTAGCTTCAGGTAGCCGTATCAATAGGGCTAAGTGACCTTGGAACCTTTTCACAGGCTTTTTTGCCAAAGGGGGGGCAAGACGAAGTGATGGCTCAGTACGAGTCAGGCCTCTTCACAAATCCCCCGTGTGCGTCGCCTGCGGGACGCGGGAAGCAAACCCTCAAGCAGTCGCCCCCTGTCATCACGGACCTGTTTCTGAAAGATAATACGAAGAGAACATCGGGGGTTACAGTGTTCAATTTTCCAGGCGCCGCCCCCTTGTACTCTTTGCATTCTGTCAGAAGAGGCTCGGAAGTATCACACGCTGAGGCAGGGAGGATGAAGGGATGTGCAGGTTGCAGACTACAACGGCGGCAAGTTGAGCACTGAGGAACCCCGTCTTAGTCTTCAAGTATCCTTACGGCGACGTTCTGACGTGGTGGTGGAAACCCTTGGTTATCGGACTGGTACCGCTTGTACGGGCGGTATATTATGGAATGTTTCTTTTGTGTAGTTGAAGCTCTTGCGGCCCGGGCCACGCGTGTCTCGCCTCTAGCATGGGTTCTGGTTCAAGAGAGGACCGTAGGACAGCACAATATAACGATATCTGCTGGTTTCATGGCCATGCCTTGAAATGGCTCGGCTTGGCGTATGTCATTTCGGAAGCACTTGTGCTTTTGTTGAGTCGCACTCTTGGGATCCTGCAAAGCTAAGGAAAGCCAGTGCATGTAACACGTTCCAGAATACTTAAGAGATACCTGCTGATTTTTGCACATTGATCTGGTGTGGGGAAAAACTTTGACGAATCACATTTGACAAAGTTAGTTCCACCCGACTCACACTGGCAGTTCGCAGATACTGGTCATTGCAATCGCGGCCCAGCCTGCAAGTAAAAGTCTCCTCTGCCACATCCGGCCAGCAAAGACTCTAGCATTAGGACTGAAGCGTATAAGAAGGGGAATCATAAGCAAGCAATTAGATTGTTTACACGTGCACCGGTTGGAACGGGTGTCGAGCGCATCTCCCTGCATAGCAATCGGGCACATGCTTATCGCAAAGTATGCTGTCAATTTTTGTCTGGTAGAACGTCATTCAATCTTCGACCCCCACGTAGCTTTATGAAACGGAACGCAACAAGAAATACCTCGGCATCATCCAGCGGGATTGCGTTAAAGGCAATCGAACTTTCGGGGATGACAGGACATTTCAAATGGTGGGCTCGAATGCGTACCTTTGCTTACAGGGACTCGTCGACCGCAATAACACGCAGTCTGACTCTTATCGTCATACCCGCCGACACTGATCAGTAATTGAGAGCGTAGTAGAGGAGTCCGCACAAGAGTCAAACAAGTTGTAAGTAGAAGAAATGTCAATCCCCTTGTTCATTCCACCACCCGAGCCCTTGCTTGGGACCTCGACAGTCTGCCGTAACCATCAAAGACCGCACCATGGGAGCAGAAATTTCGCCCTTTGATCCACTGCTGGTCAATGTTACTCGTAAGATGCTACATCCGTACTCCGATACTCTTGCAGAAGCCCGTCTACGTCTCCTTGGCCGAAAGTTTTCAGATCCAAGGACGCACTGTAGTGCTCGTTCGGTCTCCCGCGATTCGTGATCCAGGCGCCAAGTTGCTGGACAATGATAACAACGATAAACCCTCTGCCACGGAGCCTCGCACGACCCACTCGGCTGTTGCGCACGGGTAGTGATGATGATGATGATGATGATAAATCTATCTTAATACCCCGCGGCCTCGTGATGTCGTGGCAGTGCGGCTGTCCCGTCGATACACCGTAGCGTACATAAAGGGGACTTTCTATACATGATGTGTGGGTAGTCTGGTTGGTATCGTCTGGTGTCAGTGATCCTCGGGTTATGTGGTGTCGGTGGGTATTGTCGAGGTGTTGATAAAAGAAATAGAAAATAAGGAAATAATTTATTGTGTTCGTCTCGCCCGTCTCTTCCTCTCCTCCGCCGTTGCTTCGTTCTGTGCTTTCGTGGTCTCTCGTCTACCCGGCTGTCCGGGTTCCTGGGGTCGTGTTCCTCTTCGCGTGGCGGTCGTTGGTCTGGTGTTTGTCACCTGTTCTGGACTTTTTGATGAAGGACGCAAGTCTTTCAATGCCTTTCACTTTTCCTGCGAGGGTGTGGAACCTGGTCTGGTTGCCGCGTCCAAGTAGGTGTCTGTGTCTGTACACTCGGGGGCATTCCGCTAAAATGTGGGTCCTCGTCTGTGTGGGTTTGCCGCATTGGCACCCTTTGCTCTCCGTTGTTATGCCGAATCGGTGGTAGTATTCGCCGATGTGGGCGTGTCCTGTGCGGAATTGTAGGACTCGGCTGAATGTCTTTCTGTCGAGGTTGCTGAAACGTTTGGTGGGATTTAGCTTTGGTGCGAGTTGGTTTGCTTCGTAGAAGCCCGATCTCGGGGAGTTCGGGGTGTTTACCCAGCGGTGTGTCCAGGCTTCGGCCATCTCTCTCTTGCGTAGGCTTTCTATGTATGAGAGGGATTTGAAGTTTGGGCGGGCTGGCCTGAGGCGGGCACCGTCTTTGGCTAGTTGGTCTGCTCTCTCGTTGCCCGGGATGCCGAGGTGTCCTGGGCACCAATGTAGAGCGATTTTGACGTCCTCGAACTCAGTGAGGATTTTGCAGATTGTCCTTCTGAATTCTCTGGCCAGTTCCTGCGCTTTGTGTGGTTTTCCCTGGAAAACGCGATTCAGTGCACCTGTGTTGTCTGCGTATATGACAATGCGCGAGGGTTTAATGGTGACGTTACCGTCATCCAGGGTTCGTCGGATGTTGACTGCGGCTGTCTTTAGGCCCATCACCTCCGCGTCGTAGGCTACAACGTGTTCGCCCATGGCACCTTTCTCTTCAAATATGGCCTTGCCGCAGTGGTATCCTACTGTGCCATATCCGGTTTTGGTCCTTCCGTCTTCTTTGTATCGGGAGCCATCCGAGTATACAAAGAGGAGGTCTGGGTCGTCTTCGCATTCGGTGGTGAATGCCAGGTGGTTGTCAGCCCATTCCTGTTTGAATGAGTTGCCGGGTGTGTTGGGCGGGGTGAAGAGTTGGATGCGTTCAGAGATGTTGTATTCGGATAAATCCCATGGGCTTTCGAGGAGGGGGTTGATCCTCTCTGTCCCTGGGAGAATGTGGTTGGCGATCCGGGTGATGCAAGTGGAGAAGCGCTTCCGCGGGTCCGTCTTGTATTTTTTCTGGGGGTTGAACACTGGGAGGGGTGGTGGGGTGGTGGGGTGGTGGGGTTGGTGAGTCTTCTCTGGTGTGGGTACAGTCGGTTGATTATTGGGTGGTCGTCTGGGAGGGGGGCTAGTCGGGTCGCTTCCATTTCCATCCTGTATTCAAGGTAGATGTTGATGGGTGGAATGGAGGCCTCTATTTCCATGGCGTTGATGTTGGTTGTGCGGAATGCTCCAGTTAGCATTCTCAGGCATTTGTTCTGTAGGGTGGATAGAGTTCTGAGTATCAGTCCGGACTTTGAGCGCCAGAATACGGGGAGCCCATATAGTGCGATTGGGAGGACAGCACCTATGTACATCTGGCGCAGATGTGTCTGGTGTAGTCCTCTCTCCGAGTTGCCGAGCATTCTCAGTGCATGGGCCGCACTCGCAGCCTTCGCGGCTGTCTTCTTGATGTGCTCTGTAAATTTGAGCTGTGGGTTGAACCAGATACCTAGGTATCTCATCAGGTTGGAGGGGTTGATCGTTCTGGTTGTGCCCTCCGTGTTTGTGGGTATGGTGACCGCCGGGCCTGGGCCTGCATTTCTGCCGGTCCTGGACTTGGTGAAGTGCATTAGATCGTTCTTCACCTGGTCAGTTTTTAAGCCTCTTTCCTTCAGCCAGCCGTGGGCTACTGTGAAGGCCATCTGGACCACTTTCGACGCTTCGGCTCTAGATGGGGCTGAGGCTGCCAGCGAGCCGTCATCTACATAGAGTGTTAGTGGTGCGAGTTTTATTAGTCCTTTTTTGTATTGTATGTTTAGCTCTGGGTCTGTATCCAGTTTCTTTAAGGTTTCCTCCATGACAGCTTTGCACATTGGGGATGTGAAGAATGCGGCGAGGATTGGGGATACGCAAGAACCCTGTGGAACACCTGTCATGATCGGTTTGAGTTCATCGCGTTTGCCATCAAGGCAGATGGCCGCCTTTCTGTCTGACAGGAAGCTGTGCATCCATTTCACTATGGGGATGGGGATGTGGAGTTTCCTCATAGTGTTAATGAGGTGCGAGTGGGGGATGAAGTCAAAGAATCCTGTGATATCGAAGGTGAGCATTGTGACCACTTTGTTGTGGTTCCATGTGGCCTCTATGTCGTGTGTGATCATGAGTAGGGCGTCTTGCGCTGACCTGCCTGGTAGTCCCCCATACTGTGTGTTGGGGAAGAGCTGGTGCTTTGCTGCCAGGAAGGCGAGTCTCTGTGCCTGGATTCTTTCTAAGGCTTTGCCTGATACTTCTAGGAGCTGTATGAGTCTGTAGGACTGGGGGAGCGTGTAGTCTCTGTTTGGTTTCTGCAGGGCCACCGCAATGGCGGTTCTCCAGATTTTGGGGTGGTAACCCGAGTCGGCACATAGTATCAGTAGGTGATATATTTCATTCTCCATTGTTTTCCATGCCCAGCGCCATGCTCGGCCTGTCAGGCCTGAGATTCCTGGTGCATTTAGTTGGGCAGCTGTGAATATGGCATCACGGATTTCTCTCTTAGTTACGCTGACATATTCCATGTCTTCATTGTGGGGGGTAAGATTGATTGTTGGGGTATTTGGCAGTGGTGGTGGTTGGGGGAAAAGGTTTTCACGTAGTATGGTGCATTTATCTTTGTGGTTTACTGCCGGGTGGTCTGTACCGTTCTTTATTGGAGGGGAAATGTATGTCCTTTGGCTTTTCGTCCATTTACGGAAGTCCCACATGTTGCCCGAGTTGGCTTCTTCTGTTAATTTACGGTAGTATTCCTGTTTGGCTTTTCTGATTTGTGTGTGTATGTCCTTCTGTAGGGACTTAACTTTTCCTGCAAGGTACACTGATGGGCGGTTGAAGTCCTTCACCCATCCTCTTAGTGAGTCTCTGGTTTGTCTCAATTCGCGGTATGACTTAGTTAGGTCCTCATTCCACCAGGGTTTCGAGGCCTTGCTGGGGCGTCTGAGTGGAACGGATTTTGCAGCGGCATTTTCCACTATTTTGTGGATAATGGCCGTTGCTTCTTCTAGTTCTTCGGGCAGGGCTGTGTGCCGGTTCTCATTGAGTAGGTTGCCCTTTAGGCTTTCTACTTTTTGATTTTCATGGGTTATCTCTTCTTTCAGTGCTTTGGTGAATTCTTCTTCACTTGCATGTTTCCAGTTTAGTTTGGATTCACAGGGGTTGGCAACCTCCTCTCTGGGTGGGCCTATTTGGAATATTGTGGCATGGTGGTCCGATAGACAACCAATTTCTGTGTCAATGTAGTGGCCGGATATGGCCCCGGCACCGCTGGCTGCTGAGTTTGCAAAGGTGAGGTCGATTACGGATGAGTGTCCGTTGTTGTCTTCCCATGTTGGCACATAGGGTTCGTTGCAGAGTGTGTATGTGCTGCCCTCAAGCCACTCCAGTGTGTCTAAGGTTCTGGGGCAGGGTGTGTCGACATGGTCATCCCAGTCTGGGTGTCGGATATTCCAGTCGCCTGTGAGGATGGTTGGAATGTCCGCATCCATTGTGGATTCTGCCAGTCTTTCCACCATGTATTCTTTCCTCTGGTTCATGTCAAGCGATTTTTGGTTGTAAATGTTAATGAGTCTCACTGGTTGTTGTGTTGACCCGTTTCTTTTAACATCTAGAATCATGTAATCGAGGTCTGACGCAAGGTCATTCCTCAGTGTGAGTTCAATGTTTGCGTTCTGCCGGGAGTATGCCATGGCTCTGGGCCTATCACCTTCGGCAATGGGTAGTTTAGGGAGAATGGTTTGCCACCCCTTGAAGGCGACTGGGATGTGGGTGTTGTTTACTTTGTGCCACCAGGGCTCTTGGATGAGTAGGATGTCTATTTGGGGGTTCTTTCTTTTGGAAATGTTGTGCATCGCAGCCTGTGTGGCCGCGTTAGAGCAGTTGACGTTTAGACTGCACACCGTCAGTGTTGCTGATGTTTTTGGTTGTCGATTCATTGAGTTGACCCTTCAGGTTGGCTCAGCGGTTTGATTTCCATCTGGTTGTCAGTTGGTTTGGGTTTTGGTCGGCTGATTTTGAAAGGTGGGATTGTGGCTAAGCCTCCCCTGGCTCTAGCGCTGACCATTTTGGCCGCAGTTGCTTTTTGGGCCACTGGGGAGTGATGTTGGCTTAGGATTTTGCTCAGGTCTTGGTCCGATAGACCATATTCTGGGGGTTCATCTGGCGAGGTTTGAGGTGTGTTTGGTTTTTGCTTACATTTGCCTTTCTTTTTCGTATATTTCTCAGTCAGGGTGTCGGTCGGGGCGGTGTGGGTTGTGAGTGTGTTCCTCGGCGTTGGGGGGAGTCCCATGCGGCTTCTCCTAGCCTTGCAGTCTTTGTTCGCGCTCTCGTGTTTTCCCTTGCAGTTTATGCACCGGAGTTCGCTCTCTGCAGGGTGGGCTTTGGTTGCGTGGTCTTTTGCACCGCATTTCAGGCAACGGGGTTGTTTGCAGACAGCTGTGCAGTGGGAGAGCATTCCGCATTTGCTGCACGCATGAATCTGGATCCGGTCCTCGTATGGGGTGATCGAGCATTTCGTGTTGAATAGTGTTATAAAAATGGGGCCTAATTGGCCCATTTCTATAGCGTTCGGGTGCAGGAGGGGGCCGTGACATTGAGAAGATGTTACAATTAATGTAACAGGTGTTGTAACAAAGGTGTTTACAGTAACATTGACATCGGGTTTTTGGGTAGTAATTGTTGGTTCCGTTGTTATTATTTACATGTCACGTGATATTGTACTGCATAGGGCCCATAAGAGGCTAAAAATGGGAAAATCCCATTTCCATAACAAATAGGTAGACCATTTTTAGGCTTAGCAGCATGTCCCTATCTTTTTTATTAGACAGGTCAATGACGATGGACGCGAAATTCTTAGCACAAATGGTCTCATCTGTACCGAGCCATTTTGGCAGTCTCCAGTATCTGAGGCTTTTGTATTGTGGTACATAGGTGGCTAGTTCCTCGTGTACCATTCCGGGTGTAATCAGTTCATTGTTGCCATATGTGGGGATTTTGTTGATTTTAACGCGGTAGTGCTCCAAGTCTGGTAGTACTGAGATGACTTCGTTCTGAGTGATGGTGGCCGCTATTTCGTGACCGAAGGTGATGAGGTCTGACGCTTTGCAGGTGGGGGCGGTGGTGACCTTGATGTTGCCGGCGACAGAGTAGCCGATTGCCATCACTCTGAGGTAGTGTGGAATGTTCTTCTTTTCCAGCAGGTCATTGATCTTCTTTCGCGCTTCGATGCCGTTCGGGCGCTCTTCTGGTTTGGTTGGGGGGTGTACCTGGATGATGAGGCACCTCGAGTCCGTCGTTGCAGTGGGGCCTGTTGTGTCCGGTGCCGTGGTGTCCTGGTCTTTTGTTGGAGTTGAGCTGGTTTTGGGCGGTGGGGGGACTTCGCCGCTACGTTTGCCCAGGTGGCTCTGGGGGTTGCCATGGGGGTGGCTACGGTGACTGGGTCTCTGGGCGTGGAGGTGTCTTGCACGTTCTGTCCTGATTCTAGTGTGTTGATTCTTTGCGTCAGTTCTGTGAGCTTGGCGCTTATCGCAGCGAGGTTATCAGGTTTGGACTCAGCGGCATTGGGGCTATTATTCTCGGTGTCTAGGTTCGCTACCTCTCGTATCCAGTCTTTGTAATAGTGGAGGTGTTTCCAGAGGCCAACCAACCTGAGGAGTGCGAGTCTTTCGAGTGTGTCTTTCATCACTTCGGAGACGTTATCGATGCAAGCGTAGTCTTGTTCCTCGAGTTCTTCTTTGTGCCAGCAGGTTTCGTCTTCCATTTCCACGTCTGTTTGGGTGATTCTGGGGAGTCGGGGTGTATCGGGGTCCGTCCATGCGTCGTTGTCATGTTCTGGCCCTACGTTGGGCGTTGGGTACGTTGGCGGCAGGTTAGTTTCGGATTTCCCTCCTGGGTCCGAGTTTTGGTAATCGGCCATGGTGGTGGTTGGGGTGGGGATTATGGGTGGGGATTAGGGGGCTAGGGTGTGTGTGTGTGTTGTGTTTCTGTTCCAGACGACGTTGGCCCTCTCTTTTCGAGGTGGTGTCACGTGTATTGCTCCTAGTGCTTCATCATGTTTAGGTGGGGGAGTTTGTTCGGGCCGGCCCGGTGAAATAATATGATCAGTCACCCGCAAAGAACCCCTGTGAGAACCTGAGGGATCAGCCGCGGATGGCGCATCTTTCGAGCGGGCGAGGGCGAAGCTTTGGGGTGCCAGGCACGAAAGTTCGTGTCCTACTATGCTACCCTTCTGATGAACCCTTAGGAGTTGTTCTGTTCCATTTCAAGTCCCCACCCCTACGGCCGGCATGACCCTATGTTCAGCGCTTTATGAGCCGCGCAGGTCCTTGTTCTTGGAAATTAAAGAACGTGCGTATCTTCATTCACTTGAAACAAATTTGACTTTACGTAGACTCGGTTTGGTCCAATTTGCAGTCCTGGCACATTCTTCATATCATCTTTTATCCACTGACGTACAGAACGCCGGCCACTCTAGGCTGTACTGGGAGTCCCGCACCGCGCCAACGATCATCTCCTAGTTGTTCTAAATAGCTTCGTATACTATTGGCACTTTGGCCGTGCTTCTATATATCTTTACATCGGCAACACCACCGACAACCTTCCTTCGACACTGGCCATCTGTCGCTCCTTCAATCCTCGCCGTCTACTTCTGCCACAATGATTACCGGGTCGAGCTCGCGGACTGTCGTGTCCGGGACGCACAGTTCCCTCTCACTCATCTCAACTAGGACGGTGACAGAATACGTTCCCAGGCTCGTACTAGCTTCGGTTCACGACTGGCACCAGATGCTAAAGATATTTGACCATAATTCCATCTGTCCAAAGAAAAGCTGCATCAATTGACCACTCTTGTGTCTGGAACACCCCTCTCTATCTCTCCGACAGAGGTTTCAAGAATGACGCGGCCTTTTCATCTGTGATGGAACTAATTGGTCAGTAGAAGTAGTCGAAGTAGACGAACTTGCTCCCGTAAAGACCTCGAAAACGAAAGGGCGGAAAGGCGGACAGAAACTGTACGATGCTCATCCGAATCCGTTTAAGGTCCCGGTACTTTGACCAGCTGGGGCATCCAAAAATGCTCCCGACAACTAGCGCAAGCGCAACACCCAGTTTGATCACGATGTGACATAATCTTCCAGGAGGTCCTAGCCCGAGTTCCTAGTTCACATGCAGTACGAGGAGGCAAAGAATATGGGGTGAGGTGGGGAAAGGAATGATGTATTCGGAGATGTAAAGAGCAGACGGAATGCAAGAGGCGTTTGTTCACGCATAACTTGTGCTGTCTCCTGGATCATGTAAAACACGATTTTAACCGGGAGCGCGGCCGGTACATGCACAGCTATCCAAGATGCGGGAGAAAAGACGACCAAGACGGGGTCTGGTACAGATCAGGTGGAGGTGAACGCAAAGAACTGAAGGTGAGAACAAAGAGGATGACCCGCGCACAGGCGTAAACAACTGAAATAGGTACCAATATCACACCTGCACCGATTGCCTCACCGACTTGATCGGCGACCCATCCGACAAACATCGCAACGACAGGAGCCACTGTAATATATATCGCTGAAACCCGCCATAGAATCATCTCTGTGTGTGTCGGAAAGGGAAACGACCATGCAAAGCAATGGATTCCCCCAAAGATCATCCCAGTGACTGCAAATATGAATAGGACTTCCGTCTCCTGGGGCCCAGACAGCTGCACGAGATCTGCGTCAACTTGAAGCTCCGTTTTAGGCGTTGGTTGATCGAGATTCTTGTCGGACGTCTCTTTTGTTACATGGATTGCGCATTGAATGTTAACGGGTTTATTCCACCACAGCACATAAACAAAGACACTTAATGCTGCATACGCGAGCGTCATCGTCTCGAGTTGCGATCTGTTCAAGTGGGTTCCCCATCGTCCGACGTATTGAATGATAAACCATAGTAATTGGAGGACGACGAGACATTTGGAAATCGCATCGCCTTTGCTTCTGTCGAGAATTTCCTTCCTTGTGATTGCGGCCTTTCTAGTATTCCCCGTCTTCTCAATTATGCCAGGATATTTCTGCAACTTCTCCGGGACCACCACCTTTCCTTTTGATGGGTCGAAGAAACCATCCATGACGACAAAGTATGAATGGGTCAAGGTCCATCCTTGTGACAATTGCGAGTCAGTGCCTCGCCCCTTACTGTTACAAATACAGGACACACCTTCAACCATCTTGTATTTTTTTGACACTCTGCGAGACAACATGAATTGGCGCCATGCAGTCCCCAGAATCCACTCCGGCGAAACCAGTGAAGCCATCATCAAACCAACATGCGATGAAAACGACCAGATATCACCGTCGTGCTGTGGTACATTTGGGTGTACCGCCGTCCAAACGCAAGCAAAGACGGTAAGGAGACAACCATAGACGAGGCCCCACATCGTTCGGCAATTCCGGAGATCGTTGCAACCATCAGATACATTTTGCGGGATGGGCGCTGAGTAAACACTGTAGGCAAGAAGAAGAAAGGTGAAAAGAGCCAGAGCGGTTGCCATTGGGTTGATAGAGTGCGAGTGCAGACACACAAAGCATAAACGAGCATGGGCCTTATAGGCCCGTGGACAGGGGTATGCATCTTTACATACAACGCTGCATGCGGAATTTCACTTTGTCGAATTTGCAGCGGCGCGGAGCACGAAGACCGGTTCTATTTATACATAGAGTCACGAGAAGTGTAGGTGAGCTTAGTCATCGCCAAGAAAGCAACGGAGTTCAGGTACCTATGACGAAATGTCATCGATCACGTGTTGTGGTGACACATACTTCTCCCTACAATCTTCTTCCCCTTTCGTGCCTGAAACTCGCCGCGGTCGGTGCAACTGGCAGGGTGGGGACTTGAATGACATCGAGATTGAACGGAACAACTCCTATTCGGTTCCGGGTGTCAAGTCAGTCGTGGGAGCAATCTGATTCTGAATCCACGCCTCCCCATGCCTCAAATGATAACTTTCCCCTTGCAGCCTCCTCCTGCTCCTTTTGCGCCTCTCTGGCTAGGTGCTGCGCTCGCTTCTTCGCTGCCGTTACAATATTATCGAATGGATTATCAACAATCCGAATAAATTTTATCTTGGCTGGATACTATATTAGATCCCCTTCTGAGAGCGTCTTGATGAGATAAATCTTCAATCAGCAGTGCTGCTTCACCTTCCACCTACTGACGACCGTGTTTCCGACAACTCTTCCGAATAATGTGTGTTGCCCCTGGAGTTCATCCACACGATCGTAACCAAAGCCAGGGTGTTAGCACGGTCTTCTTTGTCTTTCGGCATCATCCTCACCCACGGTGGGCATAGCGCAGTCTAGGGTGTATTTCGTCCTCGAACCAATGGCTATAGAATGATTCTCCCTCGCCTATCTCCAGTCTGGACAAGAAATCTAGGGACTACTCTGTGGAAGATAACGCCATTGTAGTAACCTTGAAGATGTAGCGGGAGACATCATGCAGCAAATCGTCATCCACGCCTTCCATAGCTATTCTTGCACGCTTTGGGAGTCTCCTAATACATTGCCCAAGGTTTCAGTCCGGGCACCTGCCAAAACGTGATGGACAACCTCTGACCATAATTCGATCTGTCCCATAGAAAACCTGCATCAACTGACCGCCTCTGTATCTCTGTATCTCTCCGACAGAGGTCTTGAGAATGACGCGGCCATTGGGAGGAAGAGCCATCGGTGATAGAACTAATTGGCTAGTACTCAAGGTGTAGAAGTGGTCGAAGTAAGTAGACGAACATTGCTCCCGAAGGACCCCAAAAACGAAAGGGCGGAAAGGTGGACAGTAACTATACGAGGAATCCGTTTGAGATAAGATCCCGGTACTCTGACCAGCTCGGGAATCCAAAAGTGCTCCCAACAACTAGCGCTAGCGCTAGCGCAACACCCGGTTTGATACGACGTGACACAATCTTCAGAGGAGGTCCTATCTCGAGTTTCTAGCTCACATGCAGTACGGGAAGGTGGGGAAGGAATGATTGGGAGATGTAAAGAGCACACGGAATGCAAGAGGCGTTTGTTCACGCATAACTTGTGGTATTATTATGTAAAACAAAAATTTAACCGGAAGCGCGGTACACACACACAGCTATCCAAATGCGGGAGAAACGACAACCAAGACGGGGTCTGGAATAGATCAGGTGGAGGTGAACGCAAAGAACTGAAAATGAGAACAAGCAAGATAACTCGCGCAGCGCAATAAACAAGTAATGTGCGTAATATGATTAGTGACCCAAAGCTACCAAGGTTCCTCGGAGCCCATACAGACAACATAATTGGAGAGACAGGAGCCACTGTGATATATATTGCTGAAACCAGCCATAAAATCATTTCTGTGCGTGTCGGAAAGGGAAATGAACATCCAAGGCAATGAATTCCACCAAAGATCATCCCAGTGGTTATAAATATGATGGTGAGTTCCATATCCTTGGGCCGCACCTGCACGAGGGGCATCAGATCTGCATCAGTCTGTGTTTTAGGTGTCGGTTGATCGACATTTGTTACATGGATTGGGAATTGAATATTAACGGGTTTATGCCACCATAACATGTAACCAAAGACATTAAATGCCGCATACGCGAGCGTCATTGTCTCGAGTTGCGATCTGCTTTGGCCTAACGGCTAGTGCCGTTTGTGTGTTATGTTGAGTGTGTAGGGCTCTGGTTCAATTCACTCCTGCTGTGGTCTTTTTTGTTTTTTGTTTTATTGCATTGGGTGTTTGGATATTTAGGGTGTTTGGGTGTTGGGTTCAGGGGTTGGGTGTCGGGTTCGGGTGGGTGTTGGGTCAGGGTTGGGATTGGGATTGGTGGTTGTGTATTGGGTATATGTGTCTATTTAAAAATGCCGCACGGGGGGTTTGGGTTGGGATGAATAATTACAAACGCCTCGCAAGCTCGGCCAATTACACTTGTACTTCGAACATTTTGCTCCTGTATATACCTCTAGCTAGAACTGAAATGAATTTTCATTTTCTATGTCTGTTTTTTGTTTGGGCACATGACCTCCGGTGACCTCCGACATCACAAACCATGGGGTGGATTTAGGTTTGGTGGTCACACATTGCCTTGGCTGTAGCCCATGCCCATTCTCCTGTCAGGGCACACCCACCTGACCCGGCCCCACCTAACCCGGTGCCCCACCATCCGCTCCTCCCGACCTCCCCCCTCTTCCCCTTTTACTCTTCCCTTTCTTCCTCCCCTTCTTTTCTCTTCTCTTTCCTCTTTATTCCTTTCTTATCACACAGACAACTTCCTTTGTATCAATGTACCATTGACCCGGCTGCAGTGTAACGTGCCCGGACCCAGACACACTGGATGACCCCCCGCATACCAGACGCTCCTAGGACCTCTTACGGAGGTACCCGGACGGAGGTGGCTGTGTGCTTAGATGACATGGCACTTCCCACGTGGCCTTCAACCACATGTATATAAACACAGCCTAAGTGGGAACTGAGAAGCAACCTTCTTCTCACATTTCCCACTTTAGGCAAGTAGCTTACACTTCCCTTGATAATAACAATAACACATTTCCCACTTTAGCCTGAGTGGCCAGGGACCCTTGTCTGCTTCGGGCCTGTTGTTACGCGCGCCCGCATCATACCTACCGGACCCTCAGCCCCAGGCGATATACCTGGGCGCTGTCATATCCGTGCATACCCAACCCTGACCCGACTTCCAGACCTCCACCCTCTTCACCTCCGGAGTCATAACCTACCGCTGCTGTTCTGATGCTCACCTTCGGTCCTGGCAACACACCTCCTTCTACCCCCCACGCCACCTCTACTCCTCCTTACCTCTCCGACCCTATCTCCGTCCGCTCCGATACTCACCTCGGACTGAACACCACCCCTCTTGCCACCCTCCTACTACTCCTCCTCCTCCTACTCCGCTCCCCCTTCACAACACCTCCACCCTCCCGTCATCCTCCTACGCTTCCCCCGTCCGCTCCGATACTCACCTTCGGACCTGACAACCCTCCTTTCCGCCACTCCTTCCCCCTTACCTTTCCCCTCTCTCCTCCCTCTGGTACTCCTCTGCCACCCTTCTGCCAAGTTACGACCTTCCACCGCTGTCCCGTACTTCGTACTCAGACACCACTCGTACCTTTGCTCTGAGCCTCCGTCATAGTCCCTACCTCGGACTTTGACTCCACCTCGGTCTTAGTCCATTGCATTGGTGACCTCATACTACGTAAACACCATTGCCAATATTCCTCGGACTTTCAACCCCACCTCTGTAACCTCCATAAGCTCTGCAACCCCTGAGCTTCGCGGATCGCCTTCGGCACTTTCGCCGCTTGTAATGTATCTCTTGCGTTTACCCCTCATCCCTATTTGGACTACTGCTTCTTCCCATATCACAGGTCCTGCCTTATGACCTTCGGTACCGCTCCGCTCCTTCTTCCCTTTGTTCCTGTTCGGACGTCTTCGTTCTGATTCGGTTCCCCTTTGTTTCCTTGTGCTCTTGCCCCCTCCATTATATATATCGGCGCTTGTACATACTTGTTTTGGTTCAGTCCGAAATCGACCTGAAATGCCCCCTAGAGACTTCCTGCTCACCTACTGTGAAATTAAGGACCAAATGGACAAACAGCAATGGCACAGCGCTCCGCTTGAGTCGCTGAGGCCAAGGTCCCTCCACGCTCGACCCCGGGTCAGTCCCTGACATCTCCGTGGTTGAGGGGGCACTCAAATAAGATGTGAGCCATCGATTCTGTTTGTGTCATATCCATACATGGCCATCGACTTCCACTACCTCCGAACTCTCTGGACTACCTCCGCTCCTTCTTCACTAACCTTGGAGCTCCCGTATTCCACAACCACCTCCACTTCCCTCAATGGTCACCACCCCCTCTTTTCAATATATTACTTATGCCTCCCTAAGTATGGAGCCCCAAAGGTTTGCAGACAGCTCCGACGTCCGCTAGCACACTCCCGCCTCCGCTGGGCAATTCACTCGCTTGCCCTGCAAGCCCACCTTCGGGCCTATCCCTCCTTTCTGTTTCTGGGTTATCGCCTACCATTCCACTAACCCCGTAACCCGACTTGTTGGTAATATTCAATCGGCTAATGTTTAACTCCATTAGCTCCACTCCACTTGGCCCCACCATTTACAGGCCCACCCTCGTTGTAACTATATATACTCAACTTGTACATAGGTTACACCTCAGTAATAAAATCGACTAGAGTTGACCCCCTTTAGTTCTCGTTGCCAGTCAGTAAGTTAGGGCACAGATGTGTAACTTGTGTCAGGGCACACACCCTGACTAGCCCGGACCCGGACCCACATCCGGACCCGCTATGCTTCCCACGTGCATTCCCGCACCGCATGCTCCATGCGCTGCATGGTCCGGCCCCGGACCCTGCCTTCATGTGACTTCCGGGTATCCCCGGAAGTTTTCCTGATATGGTGGCCACTGTGGGAAGATGAGAAGTTAGCTTCCTTCTCATCTCCTTACCCACAGTAGATTGTGCCCTGGATAGGGCTGGCCAGACCTGAGGCCCCACGTACCAAGACACCCTAGCCAACACCAGGAAGCTGAACCCTGACTTAAAGCAACCCCTGGACAACGACATCACCATCCTCCGTGATGGCCAGACAATGAGATATCTAGGCGCCCAGTGCAGCAACCACTCGAATGGACATGACCCCTGGCCAACTATAATAACTAAGATCAAATCCAGCCTGAACAGCTGGAAGAGAACCTACCCCACCCTGGAAGGTCGTAAACTGATCACACAGATGGTAGTAGGCAGTATGACCCAGTTCCACACCCAAGCCCAAGGAATGCCACCGAAGGTTGAAAAGGAACTTAGCACCCTAGTAAAAGATTTTATCTGGGACTCACAGATCCCCTCTGTCAGTATGGACACCCTCAGTAGATCCCCAGGCGAAGGTGGGAGAAACGTCCTAAACATAAGAGCAAGGAACAAAGCAATAAGGCTGATAAAACTAAAGAAGATAGTTGATAGATCACCGAGTAGACCGCCCACAGCTGACACGGCAGAAGCAATACTAATGCACTCCCTCCCAAAACACATCCAGGATGAGGAAAAATGCAACCCGAAAATAATAGATATCTTTGCCCAAAGCGTCTTCAGGAAAAAACGCTACTCAAGCAAAACCCTCCCCAGAGAACTGAAAGCCATTTTGAACACCGGAGCCAAATACAACCTTGCCATAGAAGACGTCAATATCCCCATGGATATCTGCCTTGACCTCCCGGCATGGTACCATGTAGGAAAAAAGGATAACACCAAAATTAGCGAGAACTCACCCACAGCGAAGTGTCTGAGACTCACACACAGTTGTCTAAGGACGATAGACCTCCTTTACCAAGCAGGAATACCAGCGAACGATGACCACATCCAAGGCAACGACAGATCCTGCCCATGCCCCAAATGCTCAGAATACAGAACGATGGGGTGCAAGCACCCTGGGGCCTGCTATAAGACAGCTGGAAAGTTAATAGCGAGCCTAAAGCCAGAGTTTAACCCATGCTGTTATGGAAATGGAGAATCTTATGGTCCGTGACAGGCAACCAGACCTTGAGGCCCTTTGCTATGGAAATGGGCCTAGACTCCTATAGACCAGGCACACAGGTAAGATATTTCTCACTTCATTCTCTGCCAAACCCCATGCCAAGCTTTCCCACTGGGTTTTGGTGCTGGCTGGGGGATTTGTTGATTTCCAAAGGACTTCCTTTGGCCATTATAACATTTGTATTAGATAGATACAAGTCATATGACATGTATGGTAATTGCCGAGAGGTTTTCTCATTATCAAATACATAACCCACAAACCTTGTACTGCGATTGTAACATCCTCACCATTGTGTCACCACTGTAAACTCAACCTGTAACCCTGGAACCATGTCCACCTCCCTATTCCTCCTCTCCATGACAAAACCGCAACAAGGAGGGCATTCCCATGCCCAACCTCCTGCTGTCCGCTCCCACCAGTCCACCAGGTGGTCGAGTGGTTACTCCCATCCAACCAGAAGTTCCCTATC